AGAAGTCAAACAACAAAATCAGCATTATATTTGCAAATTTTTACAGGACCAGATTTGATGGTTTTACCAAACCATCATCCATTTTGGCAGGTGAGGATGATGGTTTTGGTAAAACCACTGAAGCTAGTCCTGTAAAAATTTCCAACTATAATGCTGGTTTTTGTTTTTTGACTTAATTAAATTAACATAAATACTTTTCAAGTTTCAATGGTCATTATAATGCCACAATAATGATAAAAATTCAACATGATATGATATTTCAAAATAGTTTAAAACAAAATGTAACAATGCATTTTAAATACTCACACTATTTATTTCTTCAGCATTTGCATATACTGGTATATCATCCCCATCTTTTTCATGGATTATTGCTAAATCTCTCATTGTCATTGTGTCCAAATCAGTTTCCAAATATGTACTATGTTGCTTCTTACGTAAAGGAAGTGGTGCTGAACCTACAGAAACATATTTTTATAACAAAAAGAGCTTTTTTATATTGTATAAAACTTGCAAAATACACAGTACACAAATGTTTTAAAAGATATTTTATGCTATGAAAAGACACCAAAACTGACATTAATATTATACTACTTTTCCATATAAAATGAAACTAGAGTGTAAAATGAATTATTATGATATGTGCTATTCCAGTTTATTCTAAATGAAGCTGAAAACTGTTAATGCTATAGTGAAGCAAAACACAAAAATTGGAATGTCAAAATATATCAAGTTTTGAGATAGAAATTTAAAAATGTGCGAGGAATAATCCCATTCATTCACTCAAGCTGTCATGGAGAAACTGTATACCATTTTTTCAATAGCATGCCCATCTGACTAATGAAAGATCATAATTCAAATTCCAGCAAGGGCACAGTTGAATTTTTATGTTTCCTGCACTCTGAAAAACTTATTAATCTCTACAAATGCTACCAAACTAATAATGCTGTTAATGATAATTTATTACTATGTGGATTATATAAGCTATGTCTCATGCCTTTTCCAAGTTGCTCATTAAGTCCAAGAATAATTGTAATAAGATAAGGAATTATAACTTTCTTGCAAGTGTGCTTTTTGGTATAAGTCGCTAATACGTTCCAATCGGCATTTCAAAGATCCATAAACTGAATCCCAGCAAGGTCAATAATCGTTTATTTCAGAAATTAATTTTATATATATATAAAGGCAAAAAAGAATTGCAGATAATATACTACATATACAGCTTTCTTTTGAAGTCAGTATCAATATAGTGGATATCTCATGCATCAAGAAACATATTTATGACATTTACAAAATTAGTAAATGCCTCTATTGGAGATTCGATTTTAATTATTTACATGAATTGTATCTGTATGATAAAGTCTGCATGTTTTTCAGAATACTTCAACAAACAACCTTAACTTTCATAAGAGAATTATACTAAAATATTCTCATTAAGGGTCAAATAAGAAAACAGAGACATAATATTAACAACACAATTTTTTGACTAAGTTTAAACCTATAATCTTTAATTTCCCTATGGAATTTTAAAGTCGCATTAATAAAATCACTCAATAGGATGTACATTTTCAGTAAGATCCCATTGGGCCTTTAAAGTCCCTGTTATTTTAAATTTTTATTTACAAAAATTAGATGGCAGTGGGAGCTTGGTTTGTGTGGTAGAGATTTACAGACCACTTTAGTTCCTAACACCTTGTCTGAAATGGCCAGTTTAAAGCAAATGCTACTGCTTAAATTTTAAGGCTTGGATCTCTGATTAATTATAGAGATAAATTCTTCATGTATTTTATGCATGTTTAACATAAACATAGTTCACTAAAGTTATGATTAAATTTTGAGAGTCAAACTTTCATTTTTTTCTTGAATTAGGAAAGATTTTTCTTGCAGGACTGCAGAATTCCCCTGGGACTCTGACATTCCTTTTATTTAGTATATTTTTTCCTTTCAAATGTCAAGCTTAATTTTTACATTAAATTATTATAATTTTTCATTTACAAATTTTTTACTCATACTTTTAACTTTTTTTTTAATTAAATTTTTTGAGTAACTAAAATCTATTGGAATAACTGCATGTGGCACAGTAAGAAGCAATCTCAAAGGCTTGCCAATTCTGGCTCAAGGTTTTTTTATTTCAGATAGAGAGACAATCGTTCCGTATTCTTTCCAGCAAATTAAAATGAAACCAAGATATGTATTATTCAAAGAACCCAAAAGCACAGTTCCAAACTCAGTGATGTAGCCACCGTAGTAGTAAGGGACTACAACAGCCACATGGGTGGTGTTGACAAAACTTATACGTTGAAATCTTCGTATGATACAAATCGAAAAAATTTTTTAAAAAAAGTGGCATCACCTTTTTTCTTCTTTTTAAAATTTTATTTCGGAAACTACTCTTATCATGTATATATATAGTCATGCCATTGTGGATTGGCAGAGAAATTGTCATTCCTTCAGTACAAAAGAAGAGTGACGCAGGATTCATTACAATGTCACCTACAGTTCCCAAGCAACAAGGAAGACAAAATTCCTCCTCTAGCTCCTCCAAGATGGTATATCTTCACCAAAAGGCAAAGGTAGCAAGTTTTTGGTAGCTGATGATATTAGAAAACAAAATAAAGGAGAACACTGGCCAGTTTTTTCTAAATCATAATGCATTGTCAATTATGGTCATCAAAACAAATTGAATGAAAGTCACATTTTCCATGTTTCTTGTGCAAAATTTTCCTTTGTGTAAATGAAAAAATATAATTTTTTCTTCAATTTTGTCAAATTCAAAATTTTCATCTGGCATCAAAACATTACACAGTTGTAGGAGTTATACGCGGCACGTTAGTCCCAAAAGACACCCGTTGCTCATGTTTTCCAAAACCTTAGAATGCAGCGAAAATGAAAATACAATGTGTGACACAGACACACAAAAAAACGTCTGGTCCAATAAATCCTTGTGCTTACAGAATCAGTTCTCCATGGTATTATCACCTTCAAAGTAGTTTCCTTCAGCATTCACACACTTCTGCATTCCAGTACTGTCATTGCTGGTAACAGTTCTGCAATGAGGTTTTTAGAAGGCGGAGATTCTCTGTTTTTGTCTGAACCTCTTCAGCTGAGGCAAAATGGGTTCCCTTTAAGTAAGATTTAACTTAAGGAAATAAAAAAAAAGTTGCATAGAGGCAAATCAAGTGAATAAGGAAGATGCCCCATCACAGTAATGTTTTGCTGGTTAGAAACTGCTTGACAGATAGGGCCGTGTTAGCGAGTGCACTGTCCTGGTGCAATAGTCATCCCTCATTCCCATAACTGTTGCCTTTTGCTTTCCTAATTTTCTCACAAGGTCTTTTTAGTACTTCAGTAGTATTGTAACAATTAATAGTAGTATTGATTAACAGTCTGACCACTAGGTACCCATTCAAACATGATGAATGTGCTAGGTGTCCCCTTGGGCACCCAGCACATTTATTATCTTCCACATTATCCCTTCCCCCTTAAAACCATTTATGCCATTCAAACACTCATGCATGAGATAAAGTTTTATCTCCATAAGCCTCAGTTAGCATTTGAAATGTTTCTTCTTAAGTTTCACAAGAAACTTGATGTTGATTCGCCGTTCGGTTTTTACATTAGATACTTTTCCGGCAGAATGCAGTTGCATGTGTTCACTCAACGATGCAGTACTCCACACTGGCGTGATCGGTTAAATCAAAACTGGCCGCATGGATAGAGAAGGTATGTGGCATGACATCACCGAAACAGTTGTTGCCAACTCCACTCTGTTTTCAAGCTACACACTTTGTCTCATTTTTTTTTTTTTTTTGCCACACCTTATAGGTGAATGATGGCTAATTTGGTCATGCTGCCTGCACACCAGGACACCTATTCTATGATCACTGGATCTGTCTACAACTTGAGCGAACGATATTGACTAAAAAAAACCGGTATAGACAACCCATCACAACTTATCGGAGAAAGCCATTCTGTGGTCCTCAGTTGGTGGGCGGGTGGGTCCATTTGACTTTACTGAAAGGGGACAAGGCTTCAAGGAGCTTTAGACCAATCGCAGTACAGACGAGTGACGAAATTTATAGCGCGCGCTGGCTGAAGTTCTAGGAATATTCTCCCATTATTTCACTAACTCACACGCTGCATTTGTAGTTCGAAAAAAAAAATTGCACAAAACAGTATTATGACCAACACGCAGCAGAATATGCTGCTGTGTTATGTGAAGGAAAATCCCGTTTTTTAAGGGGAAAGTTAACGCAGGAATTTAGAGCTAAGAAATAAAGAGTGATATGGGATACCACGAAAGCAATGGTAAATAGATAAGAGTAAATGAATTAAGCTTACTTCAAATCCTTTTAGAAATAAACAATTTTAATCATTTAAATTTATAATATGATTAATTTGCATTACAATCTAATAGCAAACTAAGTTTTTTTTTTTTTTTTTTTTTTTTTTTTTATGCTTACATTAAAACTGTTTTCCCGCAATTTATTTTACAGTTAATATTGGAAAAATATTTCTTTAAATAAGAAATTAGAAAGAAAATATTTTTCCTTTTTTTTTTCCCTTTTTTTATTTTCTTTTTCTATGAAAATTATTTCTTTCAGGAAATAAAATTCATTCGCTATTACAGTATGGCCGATTGCTGCTGCATTCAACTATCACACACGCATCAAAATGCTTTATTTTAAATAATTTATTCTATAATTAACATGAAAGAAAATATTTTTTCAATATAAAATATATAACCAAAATTAACTAATCTATCCTGTATGTGTGATTAATTCGTTTTGCAATTTTTGTCACACAATTACTAATACCTTTTTTTTAATATTACATTGCTGTTATTTTAATTTTTATATATATAAGAACTGCTCAGTTTAAATATTCTTCCTTCTCAAAAGATTTTTTCTGTGAAAAATAATTAAGATGAAGTTCTTTGACAAAAGTACTTATAATAAACTCGGATTTTCAAAATAAATAATCATTAATGTAAAATAATATTGTAACTAAATGCACTTAGATAATTTCAATAAGAAAATCTTTTATATTAATTCAGATTATTTTATAAATTTATCAGTGTTTTTAAATATACTGAAGGTGATTTTTTTCCAGATCACACTGTTTCTTTAAATATTTTCTGCAGTTGAAGTCCTTGTCAAACCAGCGTTTCGACACATTTTAAATAGAAAACTAATAATAATCAATATCTCTTTTACAATATAAAAATGAGAACTCTGCTATGAAGAGTATCTTTTTTTTAAGTTTGCAAAGAAACAATGATTTTTTAATACTAATGGATTACAAAAGTACTATTCCATGAACAAAAAAGAGGAAAAAAAAACATTTCCGTCTCTAGCGCGCGAAACTATGCATCGGAAATTCTAAAGGTACGTCTCAGTCTTATAGCATTGTTACTTTATAGCATAATATAATAATAATACAGTATAATTCTGCTAATAAGCCCACCAGTGGCCGAGAGGTAGAGTCGCTGAACGCAGGTAGTTTGGACCGAGGTTCGAATCCCACGAACGAGCTGGCCGCATCGGCATTTTCGTGGCTTTCCCCATGTGTAACTGTGTATACGAGCCAGTTTCCCTTAGAAAGTCCTCACTTAGAAACCAGTTTTAAAACGTAATAAAATTACACACACACAAAAAAAAAAAAAAAAAAAAAAATCTGAAAGCTTTCAGATTTTATATTACTCCAAAAGGGCCGGTTTTTTAACGTTTTTGCGTGTTACCTTTATTTATTAAATATCATGTTCTTTCGCATTTAAACCATAAAATTCAATTCAACAGCAAGATCATATAATTTAAAAAGAGCATATCTTTAGAATTTCCGATACATAGTTTCGCGCGCTAGAGATGAAAATGTTTTTTTCCCCTTTTTTTTTTCGTACAATGTTGCCATTGCTCGCTTTGAAATCGTTGAGTTTCTTAATCAAAGACTCATAAATGCTTTACAAAATATGAAATAGATAGTAAAACAAATTCCCAGTTCCAAATTTGTGCCTCCAGATGCCTATATTAGGATGGAGGATTACGTTATTCAAAATTTCATGGCTCTAGGTACCGTTGTTTTATCACAGTGCGAGAAACATTCATACATTTATGCAGATTCCTCATTATTTAATTTCTTTAAATATAATACGGTGCGATAATGTTTGGTGGCAACGATTTGAAAAGTGAAATGCTACAAAATGGCAAAACGAAATTAATAGCCCTTGGAGCTAAAACTTATTTTTAAAAGTATCACACTAGTAGTAGTACTACTACTGAAAAAATATATTATAAAGCTTTTTTTAAATTTTTTTTTAGAGTAGTGTGAATTTCGCGTAATAATGAACGACATTCCTTTTTGTGTACAGTATTGTTTTGTAAGGTATTCAACTGTTAGATTTTAAAATAAACGTAATTCTTGCTGTACATAAATCGAGTAGAAGCTTATCGGATGTCTATATGTGCTTAATAAGCTTATTATCTTCTACATTTTAAAAGCATATAATTACAATTTATGTCTATAATTTCAGGAATAGTATAAATAACCTTTCTTTCAGTAGAAACTGCGTTTTTGTTTTCTGAATGTGGCTCCAAATACTCTCTCAGTTCATCGCAAATTAAAATAACTATAAATTTTGGCAATCTGAAATACGCAATGAAAACATCTTCTGGCAGAGCAAAAGCATCAACATATTTTCTATAAATTCGCCACCGATTCAGAGATCTACGACCGTATTCTTCGTTTAAATATGAAAAAAAATCAGCGGCGAAAACATATACAAAGCCATTGTCTACTTAGTACGTCAACTGCACAACCCTGATTGACGACGCGGCAACACTTTTTTGCGCGCTTTCTACAACTTCCGTACTCAGAGAATATAGGATGTCGGGCAGACTTGTTTTTCACTAGCAGCGACATCTGGCGGCCCACTACTTGCTGTCGACTCTCGTAGCGTAGAATAACCGTCCAGGGTTGTAATAAGATCACATAAAAGGGAAGCTCACTTAGAAACACAGGAAATAGGCATGTACTTTAGGTTCGTCTCTTATCACCTGGAATGGAAAATCGATTGATTTGAAAGCATGGTTTTATGCTTTGCGAGAATCTCTTTGTTAATTTCAGATGAGAAACTAGGGAACACAAGAGAAATCATTAACCTGTATCAGGATACAAGTAGGCGGTTTTTCGAAATAAATCTTCACAGTTGGTGAAAGGGGGGAAAATATTTCTAAAGAAAGTTTTAGACACAAAGCATTTGTCTTTGGAAGAAAAATAACAACAGGTCCTCCATGAGCCTGATAAAAAAAAAAAAAAAAAAAAGGTTTCAAGGCATGGTAGTACTTTAGTACAGAGATATTCTTCCTAAGCAAATTTATACATTACTACTTTATTTATCGAAAAGTTTAAAAAAAAAAAAAAAACTCCTATGGGATCAAAGGAATGAAAATCAAAATAAGAACGTTGAGGTGTATCAAATAATAAAATCAAATGTTTTCTTTCCTGAACAAAATGATGTATTACAACCTACATTTATAAACAATTAAGGGGCCCTTACAATGACCAATAAACAAAAGTGTGCAGGGAGGGTTCTTGGTGTTACACCAGGAAGTATGTTCTTTTTATATGTTATCTAAGGCATAAAATCTAATAACTTCAAAAATGTAACTTTAACCATTTGAGTCCAGCGAAGCGCTATCGCGCTTCACTTGTCATATGCCAAATATACGGCGCAGCGTGGTAGCGCTTCTCTTGTTTTGTATTGAGAATGTGAAGACGCTGTTGTTGGTTAGTATACTTTACACAATTATTGAGAGCAGTTGTAGTGATATCAGTAGCAGTTGTTTTAAAGGAATTGGAAATTGTTTTCATTTTTTTTACCAAGTGTTATACTGATAATTACAAAATAACCCATGTCAAGTTCTGATTCATTTGAAAGTGACTATGTTATGAGAAGTGATAATGAAGAGTATAGTAGTGACCTTGAAAGTGATAGTGGAAGTGACATCATCATTTGTTCTAAGAGATTACAAGTTATTAGTGATGGCAGTGATGATGATGAAGTAACTGCAAGTACCTCTGATGACGATATTTGAAAGTGACTATGTTATGAGAAGTGATAATGAAGAGTATAGTAGTGACCTTGAAAGTGATAGTGGAAGTGACATCATCATTTGTTCTAAGAGATTACAAGTTATTAGTGATGGCAGTGATGATGATGAAGTAACTGCAAGTACCTCTGATGACGATATTATTGATGAGTTTTTACCTGTGGATACAATTTTTTTGAACGAATCGAATACTTTTTTTGAAGTACCTGGACCAAAGCATGCCCCTCCTTCTGATGCGAAACCAATTGAATATTTCAATAATTTTTTTTTCAAGCATACTAACCAACAGCAGCATCTTCGCATTCTCGATACAAAACAAGATAAGCGTTATCGCGCTGCGCCATATTTTTGGCATACGACAAGTTAAGCACGATAGCGCTTCGCCGGACTCAAACCGTTAATTTCTCTACTAAGCTGTACTGATTCATTTTTTAACTTTTTATTTTTCAGCTGAATTACATTTCCTTCCAACATTAGTTCAGTTTCAGCATGATACAGTTTACTCATGCAGTGCTATATTTGTTAAATTTTTGGATAAAATAATGATATTGAATTTAAATCGTTTTTAAAAACTTTTTGCAGATATTTTACATGAGTATTTTCAACTGGGTGGGATAATCAAAGTACCTAAAAATATCAATTTTATTTTTTTAATCTTAAATTTCTATACTTGCATTAACTACATTCAAGCTCACATTTCTACAGAGACACATCAAAAGTATGCAAAAATAGAATAAAAAAATTAACAACTGGCAGCTGCATGGGAAAAAAATTTCTTCCAAGGGCAATAGTATTAAAATATATTCCAGCCCTCAAAATTCAGGATTTCACACTAGATATCTTAAGTCTCAATTTTGTGTTCTTAGGGTCCATAAATTAGAATTCATACAAAATTTTACATAAAGTCTTTTATACATTGCCCCTGAAAGGATTAAAACCCTCTAAGAGCTAAGGATGTAAAATTTCACACAAAAGGATGGCTTGCCAGTTTATTACATGTGAAATCTTCTGCCAGCTCCAGACAGATCCAACTCTGGACTGGATGTACATCGGAAGAAATGGAGCCAAGGTGCAATGTGACAGGGTCATTTTGGAAATGTAATCAAGAAAATATCACCTATTCATAACATTCTGGGAAGCTTTGGGATTCCAGGACCAAACTGGTAATACTTGGACTGTTTTTTAAGACGAAATCCTGCTTCTTGTAAGTTACTTTAAAGACAGGATGGACCTTGCATTATATGCATTGCCCTTAAATTTAAACACTCATGCACAAGTATTTTAGCACTATTAATTAACTTTAAAGAAGCCAGAAAAACATTTTCATTTACCTGCAACACCAGTTGGACTTGCTCTGACTTCAGTTCCCTTAGACATGCTTGAACGTGCTTCGCTTTTCAATTTTTCAACTGTGTTGTTAATTTCATGACGGTGATTTGCAAGCTCATCTAGAACATTCTGCAATCGAGTAAGCTCTGCTTCTAAATCAGCTCTATTGTGCTGAGATGCTTGCTACAAAAATGAAGATAAGAAGGTAATGAAGGACATGAAACAAGTTCAAACATACTTTTTTAAACAACATGAAGAGTCAAAATTTAATTATTAAAGCTTTGTTTTCACAAGCCATTATTATATAACCGATTCTACCATAGACATGGAATTCATTTGTAAATAGAATGCATTTAATTATGCACTATAAGAAAATAATGCAAATGGCTAAAATGATTAAAATGAAAAGTACGCATCTTCTTGATAATCACATGATACTTTCAAATTGCTTGAAGAAATTCATTCCTGTTTTTTAATTATAAATAAAATTCGAAAGTTCATTGTAAAGACATAAAACACAATTATAATTTAGCACATGAATTTTTTTGGAATTTTGATTTCCATTTCTTCAATTAAAAAAAATGAAAGTTCTAATTTTTTAAATTAGAAAGCTATGAAATATGCAGAATTAAAAATAATTTTAAAAGCAAATATACTTTTGAACTTATTATTTAAAATAAAATTTAGTAAATAAAACTATAAAATAAGTGCATTATAAATGCACATGACAGGGAGGTAGGAAGTAAGAAGTAGAGGCCCTAACCAGTTTTCCCCATACACTGCTTTAAAGCACTGGTGATCTCTTCAAGACCAAAACATTTAATGACTTACAATTAAGATCAATGGATTTTGTGTTGATCAGATATAAATATTTTGTAATTACGTCATAAATATACACAGAAATGTATATATTTTCTTTTTCTACAATATTTCGAAGTCCTAAGCATGTGAAAAGAATACATTTTTAAACAACATTTCATTCGGAACAGAATGAATTGCTACACTTTTCACACAACAGTTTAATATGAGTGAAATATTTTAACAAGTTTTTGTTAATTACATTAGAAAAAAAAATTAATTTGATTTTACTCAGTTAAGAATTACAAAAATTAAGATCAAAGTTTATCGTAGTATAAATATTAAAATTATGCATTATTTCTTTTCTGCTTATTGAGTTTTTCTTAAAATACTTTCTCAAATATGACATGATTTTTTTAGCTTTTGAGAAACATCTTTTAAATCGAAAATTCTTAAGTCAATTTATAATTAATGTTCTTATTCAGTCCATTTCATATTACAGAACCTTTTATTTTAATGGTGAAATACGTTAAATATTGCTTATTGTGAAATAAGCTATATTGTAAAACATTGCTGCTCATTTCCAAGTACTTAACTTTAACTAAGGATTTCAATTTATGTTTACAATTCAATGTTACAATATATATTTAGATAATATTTATAATCATTATAAATATAGATACACTTAATAATTAAATTTCTGCACAGTAATTTTCACAGGAGTTTATGAATGAATAAATCATTCATTTCAAATACATTTATAAAAAATTTATTAAATATTTACGTATTTTGTTAAAGGCAGATACATGCTTTTTGCAAGCATATGCATAAATATTCATACATATTTCATTCTTTTTCCTTTTTGGCATATGTAAATCTTTAATTTCCGTGCATTCACTATATTTTTTGAGTAAAGTAATTTACAATAATTTAGCATATACTCGAAATTTTTACATAAGAAATACATATAAATATAATTTGAATCAAAATTACATGCATTATTTTTAATACCCACTCAAAGGTCAGTTTTTCTTTGAAATTCCTCCACGATGGCATCTTTCTTTCTAGTCAGATTGCCCTTGCATGTCTTACTCTATTTAATAAAAATTTAACCTGACGTATGTGTCTAATTACAAAATATTTTAACATGTATAATTTTATATTTACATTTAGCCATTAAGTTTCAAACTTTTGACTTAGAACACGTTTTAGGATACATTAATTATCAAATTCAAATCTTCTAGTAAATATATTTTGACAGAGCATGCAATACCTCTTTTAGGGATTTTATGCAGTTTAATAATTCTCTCATAATATAATAAATAACTATCCATTTCACATTTAAACATTAACCGCACTGTCATCAGATCGCAATCTTGACTGCCTTACTCTGCATAATATTGCTTCATTCACCAATTCGCAAATGCACCTGTTCTTCTGTTCCACACATCTGCGTAAAACCGTGCATAATTTCACACAAATGTATGGTTACAAACCAAGGAAAAAAATAAATTGTTGGCAAATCCCTGTGTATAATTATTAATTTTGACGAGGACTGCACCATTTGTCGGTAATTTCATTTTTTAATTAACCCAAATAAGTAAAATGTGTGAACCCAAAGTGATTATTTTTCAGTTATACACAAATAAAATGATGAGTTTAAAATGAGCAACTATAAATGCCTCCCCTTTAAAAATGTTTAAAAAGTACATGTTACAATAATATGTGGATGACAAAAAATAATTAAATTTTTAAAAAGATTTTGGCATTTGGAACATAAAATAAAAGTAGCGAGTACTCTATCAAGGGTATCAAAAAAAATTCAAATCAAAATTGCTGCTGTTAAGTTATCGAAAAATAGCCAAGATGCAATTTTTGCGTAAATGTCTCTAAACCACACAAATTGTTATTATCCATCACACTATGAATGTTTCTTTTATGCAGAAGTGTCCTGCCTTTCAATTTCTATGGAACTGTCATGTGTCGAAATACCATCAGAGTGCTGTCAAGGAAGCTTCTCAATGTAAACAAAAAACATCCCATCTGGAGACCAAAGCCTCAGAGCAAGGCTTCAGTTGTAGTGTGGGTTTGGCCCCTCCTTCCTTTGTTACCTCCATGGCATATGAACATTTTTCTAATATTCTTTGTTGTTTTTACCACTCTACAACTCTTCTAGATTATCAAAATCCTCACTTCAGAGTTTTACATACTTTTATTTTCATAAATATTAAATCTCAACTAGCGATATTAAGAACAGTATTTTGCTATTTGATCATAAGTAGATTTATTTAATATATGTTTGATTAATATAGTTAAATTACGAATAAATTTTCAATAAAATTGCAAGTGATTTCATTTAAAAATAATTCAGGGTTGTAAAATATTAGAGAAACTATCTCAGACTTCAGATTCTTTTTCATTATCAATAATTTCATAAAAAGCAGGATATTGTCATCCTAAAATTATAGACCATAGGCAACCTTTTGAAATTGAATATCTAATTACAGTTGTTGAAGTCCATTACCAGGCATATTTGAAAGCATACCAAAATTTTAGTTCAGTATAAATCACTTGCTTGATACACAACTGCAGAATTAAAATGTCAATCGGAATATTTCAGTACATAAGATATGCATAACTATTCTTCTTCATTTTTCATTTTCACAAATCTCCTTTCATTAGTTAAAGAAACAATTTCTAATAACACAAATGGAAAATACGTATATTTACAACCTTATATACTGTTGCATGAATACAAGTTCAAAATATACTAAATGAACACAGCTCCGATGATAGGTTGATAAAATTTATCTTTATCAAAAAAACTTTAATATATATTCTATAAAAATTCTATAAATATTGAACCTAAAGAAAGTTGTAGAGAGAAATGAAAAAAAAAATTTTAGAAAAAGTTCTTGCATTTATGATTTATTTGTAATATACAGGACTGGAACTTTCCACAAAAATAGTCATACAGCTCTTCACAACATCGCACAGCATAATCAGTAGTCACACTTCAAACTACTAAGAATGCTAAACACAAAGCAATTAAAGCACAGCTAAAAGTGAAGCTAAACCAGAGATAGTTCTCGGAACTCACACCGAGCTAACAGCTAACAACAACAACTGAGAGCAGATGCTCTCTCATGGCTTATATAGTTTTCACACAGCTGCCAATATGTTTCTAGTACTTTCTGCTTCTCAAAATTAATGAAGGCAATACGAGGGTTGAATTACAGTTACAGCTAATACAGTAATCAATTATATTTATTCAATTACAATACGTATTACAGTGACACAGGGACCTGAGCAAAATTTCACCAAATAGTTGTCAGTTTGGTGACTTTTGGTAATTTCTCGCCAAATTTGGTGACATAACCGTTGCCAACTTGGCAATAACTCACCAAATTACCGAGATACCCATTTACTCAATGTTAAATAGACTTGTCAATGTATTCTTCTGGCATAGCTTGTCTTGCTGGATTTTTTTCATGTTGCATTACCCAGAAAATACAACAATTTCACATATAACTGCACTAAAATTATCTATCTATGTACAATATTTGTAACAATACTTACTAAATCTGATGATCCAGTTTTTAAGGCTTGTTGTAATATCTGTCTCAACAATAATATTTCTTGCTCCATTTGGTCATTTTTAGATGCAGCATCTTCAATTTTCTAAGGCAGAAAACACACATTATTTATTAATATAAAAAAGCAAATGATAATTAATTAAAAATATATAAGAATTTATAGAAAATTGAAAAATATAAACAGTTAAATGAACAGTTATGAAGTTTAATTACTTTTGCACTTGTGCTGAGAAGACGTTTTACACGCACTAATTCTTTTTCTATCATTCTTTGTTGCTTTCGTAGTTTCTGCAATTCTCCAGGCTTATCCTGATGATCTAAAATTTTATTTTGCATTCCACAAAGTGTATGTTCCAACATTTTCTATTAAAAAAAATTAATGCTTTCAATCGATTTGAAATTAATTCTGAAATAAAATAAAGGCATATCCTGAATTATTTACTGATAATATTTATTGAAACATTTATACCTTGTCTTGATGCAAGGAAGTAATACTGTTAGTCTCATGTCGTAAGCCTTTGTCCAGACTATAAATTTCACTGATGCGTTTCTGTAAAACAATTTATTTTATGAAAATTCAAAAGCAAAATATAAAATCTGGGTACTTATGGAAAATCCCGTCGACCACAAGAGACAGTGCCAATTGTGACAAAAAAACATTTACTAATAAATACAAGAAGAAACGTTCTATTCTTATTTTTCTTTCAAATTTATTACATCATTATCATTTATTTATATTTAATTTTTCATTAAAAATGTCCATTATTTATTATTGCTTCACAGTTTTTAAATAAGGCACCATTTTGTGGCCATTAACACATTTTTTTGAGACTGGTAAGATTCCATAACTTTAGAAATATTCAACAGCATGCTCTTCTGTAGTAGGCAGATCCCAATTTTTAATCTCCCCCCCAATGCGTGATAGAGGGGGGGGGGAAAGGAGTCTTTACTCAAGAATAATAACTAACACATATAATCAAGGTTACACCAAACCCAGCGTGTTTGAAGTAGACTTTTCCATTTTTGCCGAAAAATCGCGTAGTACGGAGTCTTTTCTTTAATAGGTAAAAATGGTCGTCGGGATTTTCTGTATATGCTGAAATCTCATAAACATACATACCAAATTTAAAAAACAGAAAAAATAAAATGAATAGATATATGTGTCATTTTTCAAAACACATAATTCAAGGTGTGAAATTTTCTCTCTTAAGATATTTTAACCTACATAGTTAAAAATGAACAATAAAGACAATGTTTTATTTTTACATTTCATATGCTGCTTTCTTCAATATTGTAATTTGCAGTTAATTTATCCCTCATATTGATAAAACATACGTAGTAAAAATATACATATGTGTCTCGAAATGTGTTATATTACATGATATATATTTTAGAAATCAGAAAAATAAAATGCCATTCAAATGATTTCAGCACAGAGCCTTGTTCAAGAATTATGTAAATTCAAAATCTCATGATGTCTCCAAATGAATGAAAGAACATGGTGCAAGATGGAGTTGCATGCTTGTGACATGATGTATTTCATGTTAAGCATTCATACTGCCGACTACTGATATCAATGCAAATGACATTCCATCGTTGGATTATGGTGTACCTAAAACACTCAAATATCCTTGGCATTGTCCAAATGCAACTGGCTGCGTGCAAAGAGTTTTTCTACCAAGGGCCACTGTACATAGCAGAATCCAAATGGCTGCATGAAATGAATTCAATTGGTTTCTAGCCTGGTGGTCTAAGGAAAAGAAATACATTCACCAATACTCCATAGCTGTGTCTTCATTTGGTCAGTTGTAAGTCATATCTCAGACTTCTAAAAGTATGAGTCTCCTGAATGACTTGGTGAACTGAAAGCAAACCATACCTATAGCAATTTATTTCTTCTAATCTGCACGATATGCTGTAATGTTGCATTCTTTTTTGAGTCACCTCACATACTAAATTAAAGCTCATTTAAATAAAAATTACTTTCTAAAATTTGTTTAAAATTAATGAGCTAATATTTTTATTACCTTATTAATAACAATTTCCAAAAAGTTAAATATAATCTTCAACTTGCATTCATTTTATGAGCCAAAAGTCAAATGCAACAAAACAGTCTACATATGAAATAATAACAACAGCAATAATAAAATGCACGAACTATTTCTTTTTAAAATTAAAATGCTCTAGCATAATTCAAATTTTTTTGCTGTATAAAATTTAAAAATACTTTTACATAAAAATGTACAATAAATGGGAGATCTCTTCTAGCCAACATGCCCCACACACTTTTTTTTTTTTTTTTCCATGTTATCTATTAAGTTATTGACCAGTTTTAAGGACAAGAGATTCATGCATGAAATAATATTTCAGCTCCTGAATGGCTCTTATCACAGACTGTAATTCACATTTAAATTATATCTCAGAAAAGATCAACAAGATTCATAACCAGAAACAGAATCTGATAGCATTCACAGAATATCATTGAAGAAAATTACAAGTTATTCAAGTTCTGATGACAATGTGCATTATTATTCATAAAAGTGACTAATGCTACTTTAAGAAAAATCGGGTTTTAGAACCTTTGTTCTAAATGTTGATTTAATGTGAAGTTCTGTCCATGCACTTCACATTAAACTAACATCTAGCCTGACTATACTAACACACCATCACCTCAAAAGTTTTCTCTTGAAAAGTTAGGGTATAGTCACACATTTTCTATTCTGCCTAATCAGCAAACTGAGAAATCATCAGTGAAGAAAATAATTTTACCTTTAGATCAATTTCAATGCTGTAGATTTCATTCCAAATGTGTATGCTCAGGCACAAGTCTGAATCAAATACAAGCTATTGCATATCTGCATACTAAATAGTTTATCTCCTGAAAAGAGTTTATCTGGAAAATTGTTAGTGTTACTTCAATTAAAAAAAAAAAAAGGCCTTACACACATTGTCTTGACTGACACCATGTTGTATGCCAAATATGTCTTAACAAAGAAATTAATTCTTGGGCAACCTTAATGGTCTAAATTTCTCAAATGAGATTTCCTTGAATCATAGTGAACCAACCAACCCTAGAATCCTAATGAAGTTTATAAAATACTCAGACACATATTTAATGTCAAGATGAATACAATTTTAAGTGGGAAAGTGGAAATGAGAGTGATCAACTTATGTATTTGCATCCACATCATTTTAATACAAGATTACAGAACTTAAATAAGAATAATTTTTTTACCTGCAAATTATTTTCTTCTGTTAATAACTTAGATAAAATACTTGATTCACCAACATGTTCAGGAGACTGTGCGACTTCAACAGAATGCCTTGGTTCATCTTGTGAAGAATCCTATTTTTAAGATACGTTCATTTAGAAATCTTGCATGTTGCACATGTTGTTTTAACAATGACACATATGAAAGTTGATGCATGAATTAATTGGCAATTAACATGAAATTTGTAATTCAATATCATTAAATGACTTTGCTTTTTTTAAATATAAAATATTAAAGACTTAACATTATAGCTATACTTTAATTTTTTAGCTATATGTAATAGCTTATATTTTTAAAAAGTTATTTAGGTGCAAACCTGAAATTCTGGGAATAATCTTCAAGTTTCAGTTACTGGAAATGAAACATGAAAATTATCAATGCAAGAAATTTAAATGTAGGGACTAGGGTTGGGTGAGAAGCTGATGACCTCTACTGGTTTAAAAAAAAAAAAAAAAAAAAAAATGTTGTTAACAAATTCTAAAGAAGAAACTTACAAGAAATCATTTAAATCTGGAAAGGATTTAAAGACTATGCGAGCTGGTATATGGAACTTTCACACTTTATATCATAGTAAAGAACAAATACTGATTGAGCAATTTGATAAATATATCTTTAACATACTTGCCATACAGAAGATAAGATGGCTTGAAGATGGGATAATTAAAAGAAAGAACCATTCAGTGTATTACAGCTGTGATACACAGCTGTGATAAGAAGGAAAAAAAAAATTTAGCAGAGATTTATGGCAAGATCTTCCCAAATTAGTAAGATTCAAAACAGAGACAAATTCTTTAACTATTAGCTCGATACATGTACATGCTCCCACAGAAGACAAAAGAAAAGAAGATAAATTCAATGAGGACCTATGTGCAGTTTATAGAACTTGTCCCAAGCATGACATCAAGACTCACAATGGTTGACATAAATGCCAAAATTGATAAAGAGTCTGAATTCAGATCAACTATTAGAAGGAATAGTCCACATGAGAATTCAAATGAATCTACTTCAAAATCGATCTACTTGACTATTGAGAATGGTAGGACAATATCTAGCATTTTTTTTAACTATAAAAAATTCACACACTTTACTCAATCTTGATGGAGAGGTACAGAACTAGCTTGATCATATAATAGTTGATTCTAGAAATGGATCAGATGTAAAGGATATCAGATCTTACAGTGGAGCCATTTTAGATTCCAACCACTTTCTCATAATGGCCAAAATCAATGCAAAACTGTCTAATGCCCGAAAGATACAAGAGGTAAAACAAAAACGTTGCATTTGTTAATGGTTAAAGCATCAAGATTGATTGTTAATGGTTAAAGCATCCATTGAGAATTTGGAGGATAAAGGAACTGTAATTAAGAATACTTTCCATAGTACAGGAAATTGTAGTCTTGATGAAAGTGAAAATATTACAGGTAAAGATTGGTTTGATATAGAATGTGGGCTTGTTACAAAGAGTAAAATGTTGCAGAGAAAATATTCAAAGAATTAGGTTGAAGTTTTTAGGGAGGCGAGAAGGCACGAGAAGAGGATGCACAAGAATAAAACAGAATTTTTCATGAAGATCTGTTTAAAGGTGTTGAACATCTTAGGTATGCTAATGCCAGTACAGCTTTCTTTTGTGAAATTAACCTTGGATATAAAGTTCCAAACCACATACAACAGCTTGTAGTAATAAAGATGGGTTAATTCCAAAAGATATTAACAAGTTTATCAATCAATACAATGAATATTTCACAACATTACTCAACAATGGTGGCTCAAATTGTGAAGAGTTTGACTATAGCAACGGTGGAATGGATTATATCACTGCATTATCTTTGATGGAAATAAATGAAGCAATGCGTAAATTGAAAAACTACAAATCTCCATGCCCTGATTCAATACCATCTGAATTTACTAAAAAAGATGAATCAACCCCTATAAAGAAAATATATTACTTAATAGAATGTATATGGAACAAGGAAGTAATATCAGAAGAATGGATATTTAGAATCATCTGTCTTGTTCATAAGAAGGGATATATCTTGGAATGTTCTAATTAGCAAGGTATTAGTTTACTCTGCACATTTTAAAAACTATTTTACAATATTCTTTGTACCAGATTAGTTGTCTACACAGATAATATAACTGGTGACTACCAGTGTGGCTTCCATAAAGTAGAGTTTGTCTACTGATAGCAAATTTTCAATATACGGCAAATAATGGAAAAGAACAGAAAATTTGACACTGACATTCAACATTTATTCACAGATTTTAAAACTGTTTAGGATTCGGTTACCAAAAAAATTCCATGATGGAATTTAACATCCCCAAAAAGCTTGTTAAATTTGTTGCCCCTTAACACATACCAAACCAGAAGTAAAGATACAGAATATTTTTTCAGGACCTATTTCTGTTTACATATGGTTTGAGAAAAGGTAGGGCTTTAGCTTATCCCTACTTTAACTTAAAAAACGATTAATGACTCAAAATAAATACTAGGAACAGTATTTTTAACAAATCGCTTCAAGTCTTAGTATTTGCAAACGATATTGGCATCACTGCTGAACTCCTCAAGCACTCATGCACCTTAGCAATAAACAAACAAAAACTAAATATATGCTATGCACTAAGTCAAAATTAAATGATTCTTTCAAAGAAACTGATAAATATAAATTTGAAGTTGTTGAGTATTTCATATATCTTGGCTCTGCAATTAACACAGAGAACAATATCTCTCCTGAAATCCATAACAGAGTAATGCTTGCTAATTGATTAAAAACATCTGAAATCAAAGTTTATCCATAGAACAACTAAACTGAAAATTTACAAATGTTTTATTAGACTTGTTTTGACATAAGGAGCTGCAATCTAGATACTGACTGAAAAGGATAAAGAAATATTTACAATCTTTGAGAGAAAGATTATGAGAAGCATTATTTGAAGCAGATAGATGGCATCTACAGAAAAACCAATGCAGAAATCTACAGGATGTATGGACATCAAGACATAAATTTTATCGGCAGCCAAAGATTAAGATGGGCTGCTCACCTAACCAAAATGCCCTAAAACAGAACTACCAAAAAATATTTCAAGCCAATAGGCACTCGAAAGTGGAGAAGACTGAAACCCCGATGGCTCAACTATTTGTGGAGAAACTTGTCAAACATAAAGGTCAATAACTGAAGAGCCTGGAATGAAATTCTGAAGGCCAGGATCTATCATGGGCTGTCAAGTCATTGAAGAAAAATTTATTTTAAGAAATAAGATTTTAATATCACATAAAAAAAATTAATTCCATTTCATAACAATGGAAGAATCCCTCACAAATACACAGAATAAGTAGATTTATCCCATGGTTCAATTCTACTTCTCAGCCAGTTAAAATACATTTACATTCAAATAATATTTCATACATACATAACAAAACACTATTCTCATAATACATATAACATTCTAGAACCATGCCACCCTGATGAAAAGGGGGTAGGAAGTTAAGTGCCATAGCCTGGTTTGAATCTTGGAGAAAGCATACATGCTTTTAAATGTATAGCACATTCGTAATATTAGGCCACTTAAAATAACATCAAGTCAAATGTCTCAAGAGGTTGGTGGTAGAAGGCCCTTGAATTCCTCTGTCCAAGAGCATTTTCTTTCAAAACAGAGATACAGCTTCTCATTTCTTGTGAATATATTTTAGTTGCTCTCTTTTTTGGATGTAAATGTATTGTAGCTGGCTGAGTAGAAATGAAGTTTGGGATAAATTTATTTACTCTGTAAATTTGTGACTGATTCTCCCATTAGTAAGCAATGGAATTTATTTTTTATATGTAATATTAAAATCTTATGGGCCCACCAGCGGCCGAGCGGTAAAGTCACACTGGTAGTTTGGTCCAGGGTTTAAGTCCCGGCAAACAAGCTGGCTGCATGGATGTTTCTGTGGTTTTTTCCATGTGTGATGTTGTATACACACCAGTTTCCCTTAAAAAGTCCTTCATGAAGGTATCCTTCTTCTTAGGCAGATAGCTCTCAAGTGCTTTGCCATAATCAAATAACCAAACCATTAAAACCTTACTATTTTTCAGTAAATAAAATTTACCAGACTTTTTTTTTTAATAACAATAGTTTTTCTCTGTGGTTCACTTTGAGCAACATTCTCAGTGATGGGCTTAAGTGACTACAGGGTTTTGGCAGTTCCCCAAAATATGTTAAGTTACAAGGGTCTAGCCATTTGGAATGACATTCTATAAACACAAAACTCATTCTTAATCTAATTACAAAACATACTTATTTTGTAATGACATTGACTAAGGATAAAAAATGGTCTGACTGATCAGTTTTAGAAATGGCATCCTCTTTCTACTTCAGGGAAAAAAGGAAGGGACTTTGTATGTATTAACTTCATAAAACAAATTATAAATTTACAAAATACCATGAAAAATTTGATACTTTAAAAACAAATTCTAATAATTCAAAATTTAGATTTAATGCATTACTCACTAGAAGTGGAAGAGAAAAACTCCTGCGATGACTACTTCCATATAAGCTCCCAAGTTTTACCATGTTGTCAACTAATGTTACAAGAGGTTGAGTGACTTCATACTGATTCTCTAGCTGCCGTATCTGTAATCGTATCTCTTTGTAATTCTGGGAAGGCAACTGCTGCCCAAGAGAAGACCTGTAGTTTAAATGTGAAATTAAATTGCTATTGTTGTTTTTATTTATAGACATACTATACACCAGCATACTTGCTCTAGCTGTATATATAATAAAACTGGAATGATACTATATAGTTGGTAAAGTGGTCTTCAAACTCTATCAACTCCAGAGAATTCATACAAACTATAATTTTTATTCGTGGACTTCTACCATCCCCAAAAAAGTAAATGTTCAAAAAAGCATTTAAAATATGCCAACTCTGCATGAATTTTTATGTCAAAAATTTAAGATAATCATTATTTGATTATCATTTCACTTATAAAAACAGATCTACTTCATATTATTTTAAGTAGTAGTAATAATAAAAAGTATTATTTAATTATTTATTTTAGACGGTTAGTTTTCCAATGATTGTGACTTGTGGAATTCATAAAGGATTTGCATATTATTATTTGCATCCAGTATTCTATGGAACACAGTTTGAGAACCATTGGTTGAGTTTCATATGCTTCATGTTTGAGTTCCTAAATAATCAATTTGATAACATTCCAGACATCAACTTTAATGATATTCAGTACAACTGGTGCACAAAAATAAAGATTTTGCAACATTTAAGGTACTATTAAAAATATTACTTTAAAATGAGAAGGCCTGCACTTTTTCAATCCTAAACACAGGAGCTAAAATGGTTAAAAATACTGGAAAAGACTTGTTTGGAAATAAAGACGAACATGAAATATTACACTAAATATGCACAATAAAGACATGAGTTCTTCCACTGATGAACTGAACAAAATCAAGTCAGAAACATAACTGAAATTAATACTGCAGTTAAACTTGTTTGTGGCTATAGTTCAGAACTAGTTTACAAGTTAAACTTGGATTATAGATCATCAGTTTAAATCTCGTAAGATGGCATGCAGAAATTCTAAAATTAAAACTATGAAACCGTAATTTATGAAATAAAGAACAATTATGATCTAAAGGGTATCAAAATTTGCAAAAAGAAAAAGCTTAATATTTATTTGTTTACTTTATTAAACATTTCTTTCAATGTAAGTTGTTTAAGTTTTGCTTTATTTCATGTGATAATACTTTTAAAGTTCCGCTGTTCAAGTCCTATAATTGCTGTGTCCCGACTAATTTGTCAATCGAAATTTTTTCGTTTTCAATAACCTCTGTCAATTTCTTCCCTATCGGAAGCGAATTATAATGACGAGACACTTGTTTTAAATCATATCAAAGACGGAGCATATCGAGATGAAATACTACATTTGGTAAGGAATTATAAGCCAAATAAAATGAAAACATCTGTGCTGAAGATAAGGATAGTGCTGACAGATCAACTTCCAATTCATTACGCGCCCACTGCAGCGTTCCCCCCCCCCGACCATCAGCGTGAAATTGATAAACAGATTTTGGATTTCAAAAACATACTTTCGCTTTAGATCCTTTACATATTAACAAATATATATCGGAAATTCTATTTGATATAATCGAAAGTTTAAGCTTACTTTTATAAAATTGCTCTTACAGTCTGCAAAAAATAATAAGCCGGATCCAATTCGAAAATGAAGGAACAACACAATCATCAACATTAACTGAAATAGATAATTAGATAATTTTAGGTTATACGTCCATTATACATAAAACGCGCACGCGAAAACGTATTCTGCACTTGCGCACACTCATATGCGCAGTCGTAAAGGGTCTTACGCGCACGCGTAAACGCTTATGCGCATGTGTCAACGGGCGCATGCGCAGAAAGTTTTTAGTTTTGAGGTCCGGATTATAGATCATTCCGAATTATAGGTGTCCGAATTAACGACTTTTGACTGTACTCTAAAGGATCTATGTAAAAATACAGTGACTAAATTGAAATTGTCAAATTTCATAAAATATGTATCTGTAAATGAAATGAATTTATATATTGACTGTTTTTAAAATTTCCCTGTCGAAAGTTTATGATATTCCGCTATTTTATTTCCTTATATATGTAAGTAACATATTTTTATGCATGCAAGTAACGTGTTATATTTTACAATATAATAATGAGCTTTTGTTGGTGCAGCTGGAAAATCTCACCAGCTCCTAGACTTTAAATTCATATTTTAGTTGTTTATTCTATTTTAAGTTATTTTAGGTAGTAAGGCAGTAGTTCTACTGCTTAATGGGCCTAATTCAGGCCTTGTTTTAGATCTCAATGTTTCTTTAATTAAATAGCTCGACTAAGCCCCGTTAAGCCTCTAATGGCGGTACAAGAAGTTCAACCAATCATATTAAGAAATAGCATATTTTACACTGCATTAGCTAAAGAAAAGGTAAAAGCTTACAGAACTTTTACTAAAAAATATACAAACACCAACTCCGTTACTTCAACTGCCATCTTTCAGTGATTTCCAGAATCTTTGAATTTACAATTGAAAACCATAATCTCATGCTAGTTATTTAGATTTTTAATTATTATAATCATCATCCTCATCAACATATTTTGACATGTTCTAAAGAGTTTGTCTTGATAAACTTTACAGATTAATTTTAAGATGCATCATTTTGCACCCCATTCAGATTTCATTATTTTTATATTATGAATCATTCTTTGACATAAGTATGATGTTGACAAAAAAAAAAAAAAAAAAAAAAAAAAAAATTTTAAAGCATTATTTCTGTTGAAAAATATAAATTCAAGGCTTTAACTCTTGACATTTTTGAGAAACTATGCAAAGAAATATACAATGGCTTTCTACATTAAAATAACAATGACAAAATTTATAAATGGTATACAAAAATTTTAATCAAATTAAAAAATTTTTTGTGACACACCAATATGTTATGGATGGTCAGAGTTCAATGTTCATAAATCTTTGGCCTCTAAGATTTATTTCTTATTAAAATTTACAATTTTTTTTCACTTACTGTTGAGGTAACTTCTGCTCATTCTCCAACTGTTGCTCTAATTTTTCTTTAGACCTTAAGATTTTTGCCTGATTACGTCTCAGCTGAATTAAGAGAAGCACCAATTCTTCATGCTAGAAGAAAATTTATGATCAATTTAAATTTTTACATTTTAATGCAAACTATGAATTTAAAGAAAGGAAAATTTACTATCAGAATTTGAAAAAGCGGGAGAAAAGAAAATTTTAGCTGAAAAGCAAGAATAGTAAAAAACATTTAATATTACAGTACTAAGTCCAAGATCTAGAATCGTTAGGACTTCGATTCTGTATTTGAGATTTTTCTCGAAATTAGATCAGCAGTTTAAATCTAGTAAGACAGCATGCAAAAATTATACAATTAAAAATATGAAATAATAAAATTATAACCTTAAAGGAATCAAAATTTACAAAAAAAGAAAAGAAAAAAGAAAAGAAAGGGTGAATACTTGTTTGTTTGCTTTAAGAAACATTTCCTTCAATGCAAGTTATTTAAATTGCTTCATTCTTTTATCTTAATAGTTTCTTTTTAATATTACAGATAGGCAATAATTCTTGTTCATTTACAAAGCTTCACTATTCAAGTCCTGTAATTGCTGTGTTGAAAATTTCCACTAAAATGCCAATCAAAATTCAACGAATTCTCACTTTCTTCCCTATAGGTAACAATATTTTATGGATTTACAACCACACTACAGATTTCAATATCTTTTAGTTGGCTGATGATTGGAGCATCATCATCGTAATGAAAAACTTGTTTTATCATTTTCATTTATTACCACTTCTCCACATTTCTTCACAAATTCCACTAACTGGAAAATTTCTCTTTTTATCAGCGATATGTGAAAACCTTCAAATTCGTGCCTATCATCATAAAGCTTAATTAGTGTCCGTTACATACTATCGGCAACATATCATAAGATTGGCAACTAAATACATGTTTTTTCACTAAATTTTGTCTTGCTTCTGTTGCAAACTGATGTTAAGCCTGAATTATACTAGTTTAATTATTTATTATACTACCCTCATTTCCTGCCCACGCTTAAGGCTTGCGAGTCCTGATACATAATATGCCACATATACTTAAGGCTTAGTTAAGGCATTTTGTGTCCTGGTGCAGTCTCTGTGAGACCGAAATTCTGCTGCCAAGCACCTTCCTAAATTCCAAAAATTTTGCATCCCAGTTTCTTCTCTAAATTCTAAAAATTTTGCCTCCCCTAAAATCTGTTACCCAGTGCAGCCACACCATCTCTGGCACTGGTCCTGGGCTCATATGAATAATAAATTATTTATTCTCAATTCAAACAGCATTAAATCTAATCTTTTGGCATATGAGTATTTGCATAATCTACTTTTTTTCATATGGTAGAAATTTTTCCTTCTTAACACACAAGAGACTTTACAGCAGTGTTAGCTAAAGTTTGTATTCACCACTATGCATAATGTCAATGTAAAACCTTGCTCTTCAGTTTTCAGTTACTAATATTTAAAAGTTACTACTATTTAAAAGTTAAGTTACTAATATTTAAAAGAAAAAATTGTTTAGACATCACTCTGCGAGTCAATTCTCAAGCTGCCGTGTATTGATAGCAATTCCAATATGAAATCAAGAAATAATGATATGCCAGGTTGGCATCAGGTATATAAATTATTCAGCAGATATAAAATCAGTATGTTTGAGCAAAAAGAGCAAAAATCAATTATATGCAAAAAGAGTGGCTACACAGCCAAATTACTGATCATACAGAATTATGCTAATAAATGATTGTTTCCTCAGTTTTTCTTGTATTTTGTTTTCTGCTTAAGTGAAATTTCAAACTTTGATTCTCCACATTTTATTACGAAAAAATATCAAATGGGCAAGCATAAAGCATGCAAAAATAAGTTTAAAAAAAAAATTGCTGGTGATCGGGATTTTATATCATTCTAGGTATTGGATGTCCAGATTTTAGATTTTGCACTGTACTACTATTAGAATAATAAAACTTATTGACATAAATAATCCAATAAAAGATATATTATACAGTTCTATGCAAAAGTATAGAATAACTTTTTTCCATTTCTTGCAACTAATTCATGATAATTTTGCCATTTATACATATGAATATGTGTGTTTCTAATGCTGCTCAGTAATTTTGGTTTTTAATAGAATGTGCTTGCCCCCTGCAAAATTGCAATATATAAATTTCTGAAGTACTTCAAACCTAAAGATATCAAAATTGTCTACAAACAATATAACAAAAATATATAAGGTATCAAAACTGTCTAAAAACAATGAAGCAGAATAAAGGCTTTCAAAAATCATAATATGTAGTGAATTATTGCAAAGAACATCAAATGCTGAAAAATACATTCTTGATACAGAGAAGAGATTTTTAGAGAGGAGACCAACCACCTGAATTCACTAAAGAGAATGTAAAATTTCTTTAAATAGGTAGCTTCAGAGACTAAAAAGGAGCAATACATGAATTGATGCAAAAGGATTAACAAAATCAGTTATTTAGAAAAGGATCATTACAACACAAGTCAAACTTAACAAAGCACTTAAGAAATTGGCAGGAAATACATAAAGACAGGATGTTTGAACTATGAATTACTCCAGAAAAATAAATATAAATTTGAATGCTTTTTGGTAGAGAAAGGAAGCAACAAGTAAAATTAAATCATAGGAGAAACCAAGAATTCATACACTGGGGGAAGGGGACAAAACTATGGTGACCAAAAATCTTATTTGAATTTGATGGTGCTTAACTACTAAATAAGCAACAGAACTTTGCATAATTAATTGAACAAGTAATCAGGAAATATACTACATACTACAAAATTCTTATTCAATATCTTACTAAATTTGATTACAAATAAGACAATGGCATATAACATTACTCAAAGATCTATAAAAACTACCTAGCAAAAAATACAGCGAAAAAAGAATGGAAGCAATCAAAAATTACTTCAAAACATATTAGTCAGTAATGATTACTTGACTACAGCAAAGCATACTTGGACAATCCGGCAGAGCAGAAGAATATCTTTGTAAGACATTTTCTATCTTTGTAAAGCCTTTTCTAACAGAAATTGACCCATATTCATGTTAAAATTGGAAAACCAGGAAAATATCTAAATGACATCATGTTTGTTGGGCATGATTAACTTCAAATTATCATTATTAGTGATCTTATCCACTAGACCACAGAGAGCTCAACACTGTTAGGAAGTAAATAAGTAAGCTTAGAAAAAAATTCCTAAAAAAATAATTTCTTTCCCACCATGAAAAATGAAAGTCACAATTAACAGAAAAGATTTTTAACATTTTTTTAAATTTTATTCTTACAGTTAATAAATAATGAAACTGTTTAAATAAATTTACACATTCTTATTCATAAAGGTGTACGTTTCTAATTATTCCTTAAAATTCTATTACATTTGCACACTACAATTCTACAATATAAATCTAGCCATATAAGAATACTAAAAACTAAGGATTATTCTTGCTTATCATTTGTATTTACTGTAAAAAACAATATACTCAAAACTTATAACTCATTTCAGAAACATATAAATATATAAAATTATAAAAATAGCATTTTTCTCTCTAAATTTATCTTTGTTGGAAATTTTTATCTTATCTTAAACACTTTATTTAAATAAGCTAAAGCTCTATTATAGTATTCAAAGAACAGAAAATTTAAAATCATTAATCACAAATTATGCTTTCAAATTTCAATAAAGTTATTAATTTGATTTAAATTTTTAAACTAACTGTTTTCCCTAGAAGATCACCCGCTGATACACTTAATCTCTTTCCTTTACACATAAGGCCTTCTGACTGCTGGACAAGTTTCTTTACATAGCTTGGCTGTGAAAAATAAAAGAAAAAACATTATACTAAGAAAACTTATGTCTCCTACATGTTAATAAGAGTTTTTTTTAAAAAAAATACAACTTGATTTGTTATATAATATATATAAAAATTTAATATCAACTCTGCAACAAAAAATATATACACCCAGAGGGAAGTGAACTACTATCACGAAACTTAACATGTATCAGTGTATGAGGAGATAAACAAATGATTACAAATTCAGAACAAAAGATCATTTTATTAAGAAATTATGGCATGAAAAATGTTACAAATAAGTAAGTAGTATTGCCACCTCTGGCAGATATACAAGCCGATGTGTCATCAAATCAAATAGGTCACCTGTGACCTTCTGTGAAAGATCATGCCTTAATCTTTGCAACTGAGCAGTTAGTTCACCAATATTCCAGGACAGCTACAGTTGCCTTCCAAGCATGTCCCAAATGTGCTCAATTGGCAAGAGGTCTGATAACCTGGCAAGCTACCGGAGTATATCATATCCTTGAAAATATTGTTGGAAGAGCTGCGCAGTTCATGCACAAGCACTGTCTTGCTGATAAATGGCACCTGTGCGACTTGATAGCATAGGCAGTGCAATCGGTGTCAAAACGTCCACTGCGAGCCAACATAGTGCCTTGAAGGATGACTATAGGTGATCATGTGTCCCAACATATTACTCCCCACACTGTCACAGCTTGAATAACTGCCGTATGCTGCTTGAAAAGAAACACCGGATCAGACCGCTGGCCTGGCCACCTCCACACATGTGTGCATTGGTCGCCTGCATTGAAAATGAACAGGGATTCATTAATGAAGATCACACGCCCCCAGTCAGTCACACTCCAGCTTGCCAGAGTTCAGCAAAAATCCAGCTGACATTGCTTATGATGGGTCAGTGGTAGGCTTTTCAATGGACATCGGCAGTATATACCACGTAGGCCAGTCATCTCTGAATGTTTTCCCTTGATATCACCAGATGCCTGGAAGGTGGTAAATGGCATTGAATCGATGCTAGTGGCATTATTGGTGCAGAAGTGGCCACTTTTATGATTGGGCGATCTTCGAGCTTATTTGTGTTCCTGGGACATTCTGATCTTCCACAACAGTAGATTATCCCTTTTGTGATCCATTGTCACCAACAATGAGTATCTAATATATCACTCTGACCGAGATGGCAGCCAATACGCCTCTTCAACCAACCTGCTTCTTTAAGGCTTACTATATGACCCTTTTCAAAGTCCAACAACTGTTCGCACAACTACCGCTTACATCCCAGAAGCATCTCTAGTCCTAATCCCGTCCATACAAGTTGACAGATTCATTTGAATAGTCATATGACACGAGCAATCGTGGTTTTAAACTCTTCCAGCTGCGAATCTCTTACCAGACTACATTTCTGCCGAGTTTCGTGATTGTGGCTCATTTTCTTCCAGGTTCACTTTTTTGTGTGACAAACTGTATGTATAGACATACACTGATGGAAAATAAAATACAATGCCAAGAAGTTATGTTAGAAAGGTGAAATCTGGTATTAAATTTTGCACGAGACAAATAAGTATGGTGCCACTATGGACATGCAAATCACATTTGCTTTATGTATGCAATATACACTTCGTGTGCTTTTATTTATCCTCCAGGTTGGATACTGAGCCAAGAATTCCTTTAAGGAGGAGGAGGAGAAGGCAGAATTGGCAGCTTATTGAAAAATACAAAGGATCATTTTTCACTATTTTTATAATCAATAGCTTAATTATTTTTCCAATTACTGTTACCTGAAAATAATTACAGTGATCACTCTTATTTATGGATTCAGAATAAATAAACAAGTAGAATAGAGATAATAGCAAGTTTAGAGCATTTGAATTTGAATGAGGCCATGTAATAGGACTAAAAGAAGGGGAATGTTTTTGTGATATTGTAGAAAAACTTGGCTGGGATGTATCCACTGCGGATGCCTGTTGGCAGCAGTTATCACGGTCATGGAACTGGATTTTCAGCAGGCATATGACTTTTGCTGGCACCACAGTGACAGCAACCTGTAACAAATCAGTTACTTGAGGGACAGCTCTGAAACAGATGTCCTGAGCAGCCATATTCTTAACTCCAAATACTCACCATCTGCAGGTATCAAAATACAGCTCACTAGAGGGTGGAGTGAAGATCTGTTATAGTCTCAGATGACAATTATTTCTACCTTGGTTCCAGGAATGGCAGTATGTTGGTTAGAAGAAAGGCAGGTGTGCACTTGGAACCAAGCTGTCTGTAGTGTTGACAATTTAGACCTGCACCAAGAGTTATGGTCTGGGAAGCAATTTCCAATGACAGCAAGAGCACTCTCACACACTTTGACAACAAATTTGTACTTCAGACTGGTCAAGGTCGTGCTGTCATTTTTTAGCACACTATTCCCATTTCCAAGAGGCATTTTCCAATTGGATGACAAACCAGCATGGAACCATTGTTGATGTGACTGATCAAGTAACAACAGGCATAGAACTTCATCCCAGAAAATAGCAGAATACAGCATTTGCATTCAATACTGTGGCAACTATACGGATTATTAATGTTAACTATAGGGATTATTAATTACTACCTCACATGCTGGAAGATGTCTTTTTATCTTGCAGTTGCTTTTATGAATTCCCAGAACAGGAAATTTTCCATTATGGCAACATCGTGGACATAGCTCACCAATACATACATGAACAAGAAATAGTTGAATTTGTTGGAAGCTGAATTAATTTGTTGAAATTACTTCACACATACATGTACAAAATATTTTCATTGAAAGCTAATACAGTCAATACACTGTATTCTTCAATAATTTCTTTAACTCTATCAGCCCATGAATGAAAGATATTTGATGTAACTTAACATTATTTGCATTTGAAGAAAAATAGCAAAAAGAAGAAAAAATGTATTCAGATTACAAGTGGGATAAAACTAAAGTACATTTCTTTTATTTAGTATATTCCAATGGATTTTCATCAGAGCAGTTTTAATTTGAAATACAATGAATGTTAATGAAATCGTTTCTTCTATAAGACTGCAGCTACTGTAGAAATGCAAAAAGAACTACTTCATATGTATCAACTTATTGATTATTTAAAAACAGCAACAAAATGCTAAAAATCAGTAATACTTATATGTGAAATCACATGTAATACTAAAGGATAATCGTTCCATAGACAGCATGGAATACTATTCATGCCCCAATAAATGGGTTTTATTCCGCACTGTTACTTCATTCTTGAAAACGGATCAAATTATTTTCTTTATTATTTAAAATTTTCTCCCTTCCTTACAGATTTAATTTATATGATTTCATTTTTACAATACATGCATAAAAGCTATTACCTCTTTCACATTACTTTCAAAGCTGGAAGAAGCTCTTGAAAAACCATGATATTTCACTTTACTATTTGCACTTTTGAATCTCCCATCTGAATCTAAAGAGGCTAGAAATACATTAATGGTATTATAATCATGCTAGATAAATTCTTTGCACAGAAAAGAACACAGCTAAAGCAGTTTCATATAACAAATACTATAAGCAAACAAAGTCTTTGAAAACTTATGCCAATAATGTCTATCATAAATTAAAATTTTATGACACTTTTGGAAAAAGAGTTTCTCAACCTATTGTAACTTTTTTTTAACTAATCCAATTTTTAAGCAAACCCTCTAAATGCTTTTGCTTTTTTCCCCTAAATGCCTTTTAACCTTTTCCTGTGGACTGGGGCATATTTGCCATGTTCACTGACTGAGATCAAAGAAATTCAGTCTTCCTTGAAGTTTGCTACTTGATGTAGAGCAGAAAATATCAAATCCTGTTGAATTATTTTTCTGTTTCTTGCTGGCTAAGTTAACTAAATGGTAATACTATATAGAACAATTAAATCTCTGTAGCCCATGGGAAATAATAAAAATATTGCATTCAGTATTATACTTCAGAATATATAAATATTTTATAGCTGAAAATATATGTGGTAATATATATAATTACAATTTAAAAAAAAACATAATATAATCATGGCCATAAAAATTTTGATTTGAGTTTTTCACTAAAGTGTTTTATTATTTTACTTTTGCTTTCAATTCTTTGGATGGAGTTATCTTTGTTTAAAGGCAAAATTTTGATTTGAAGTTATTTTTCCCCTTGATCTGGAGAATGGCCAGAATTTTCTGGTGAACTATTATAATTAAAATACGTTGGAATGGTTCAGCAGCTAATTCTGGATATAGAAAAGCAAGGATTTTTTAAGGAAGAGAGATTTCAATTCATTTCCTCCTCCTGACGAAGCAGCATTGAAGCTGATTGAATTCCTCTTAAAATTTCATTGATTTTTCTAATTTAGGTATTACTTGCTTGAAGTATTTTAGTTTTAACATTTATTAAATTCTTCCTTACATAAAAAATCTATGCTTTCAATGTGTTTTAGAAGGAGAAAAAAGTGCTCCATATAGCATACAATCTAATATATACTAGCTTAATATACTGAAGAGTTTTATCAGAGAGATAATTAAATACTCTAAATACTAAGTTTCTAAAAAAGCATTTAAGGAAAAAAAAAAAAAAAAAACTATTTTACAAGTTTATCACTCATACAACTTTTCTTCAATATAGTTTATATCCACAAATAGTAATCAGAATTTAACACATAAAAGAGCATTACGAATATTATAATTGAATAAGAAACAATGATTTGGATCTGCACTAAAAACACAGCATGTAATGATTCAAAATTTCCCTCACAAACTCCTGTGGCAAGGCAAACATTAACAAACTATAGTCATACAGAAATGTACATTTGCAAATGTTCACAGAAGTGCTGGAAGAAAGCCAGTGAGAAGAATTAAAAGATTGCAGGGAAGGTATTAGCCAGATGTTTACAATATGACAGTAAAATGTATAACAATAAGGTTTAAAGTTTTTTTTTACCACTATATGAATGATTCCAATCTCACAACAATACTGCAGGATTCTGTGAACCTGAGCAAAAATGTTAGGATTATCACAGACATATCCAGCAGTTCAGTGACTCTTGTGACGAGATCAGAAACAGATGCAATGAGACCTCTAAACAATCAGAATAAGATGCAATGGGATCTTTAAACAGAATCTTTAACATAACCTAAGAAGAAAAAATTGATGACGAATATGATAGCTTATGCTAGAAAAGCAACAATGTATCCCAGTCAACACACAATACTTCTAAGATCAATGCTGAAATATGCAGTAGCTTGAGTTAGCTGAAAGCATATAAGAACAGCAAATAACTGCAGAATATCATTCATCTTTTCCTGCACAGGTGTCTTTCAGAAATCACTTATAATTTTGCCCATCAAATCACTGCAGAACAGGGGTTTTCAACCCTTTTTTGTCTCAGGCACCCCTTTCACTACAGCTAGACCATTATCTACCCCTTAGCTTTGCAAAACTCATATATAAACTCTTTAAGCTAGTAGGTTCTCCCTAAAAATCTCGTATTATTGACTAATTGCAATTTGCTATTTATTTTATTTTGTACATTTGCCTAACCAGGTCGGTTTGTATAGGTTTTCCTCACACCATTAATGTGTTTTTCATTTACTTTTACAAGCGGACATGTCGGGAAACAAAACAGAGAAATTTAGACTAAAGTTTTTATCTAGGTTACTTTATCAGTTAAATAATCAAAAAGTTTCGGGTACAGTCTCGATTTTCTGTTTTTATGAAACACGATATGGAATTAGCTGAATTCGAAAACCATTATGCATTTCCCTGAAGAGTCAATAATGAGATTCGAATTGGGCTAATTTACCACTTTTTTGTACTTTTGCTTATGTCTTATTTAAGCATTGTATTTCTATTCAAGTGTTTAAAGCCTTTCTTAACTTTTATCAACATATTACTTCCAATTCGATTTGAGTTTTAAATTCGCTTATTATTTGTAAGTATTCTAGTGATAATTTCATTTATCTTATATTTACACTTTTCACTGCACTTTATTTTAACTTGTGTTAAAATTATTCACCAGAACCACAGTATCACAATGACTTTTAAGCAAAAGCATGTATATACACACACACACTGATTTATATACTCAATATATATAAATACGAAACAAACGCTCTCTCTATATATATTCAAAATAAAGTTTGCAGCAATAATGAATCATTTATTTGTATGCAATTAAAATTTCATAATTTAAAATTTTAATTTTAATTAACTTTAAATTTGCTTTATACAAATAGAGAATGTTTGTTAAATTCAAAATAAAGTATATATACACATGAATATTTTTGTTGCATTTCATCTAAACTTATTTCCTTGCATTACTGTAATTTAATTAACAAATTCTTCAAGGAGAGTTGAAAATGACATCAAAACCTGCAATTTTTGAAATTATATATCCCGATCAATTTTTGTTGTACAGGAGCCAAACTTCTTTTATTTTTATTTTTTCGCAAAGAGTTTAAAAATTACCCAAATATAAGTATAGGAGCCAGGACACCACATAAAAAGTCAGATCTTTCATTATTTGTCAAAAACAAATTTTTTTTTTTTAATATGACAGAGCCAATTTTCATAGTTAAAACATTTCTGTATTTTTGTTGCATTGGCTTCCTCAAATTATTCTAACTTAATTAATCCCTTAAATTAAGTTGAAATGACATGAAAGATAGCAAATTTTGAAATTAATTATCCAGGCTAATTTCGTACTGAAAAACACTTCTGTAATTGGAAATATATGATTATGTTCAATAATTGCACAAACAAAGACTGGGTAAGGACTTTTAAATATATACACTGGTTATCATAAATTAAGGAAAAATCACAAAAATCACGATTATTGAAAAAGGTACATGTAGAATTTTATGAAACTCATCCACAATATACAACACATAGTAAGGTATCAAATAACATAACAATAGTATGCTATCAAATAACATAACCAGACAATTATGGTAGTATAGAAATTAGCACATAAAATGAACAAATCGAAGATGTCAGTTGCTATAGTAAAAGTACCTTCAATATGGAATATGTCGCCTCTAGAAGCAATACAGCACATTGATGATGTGATGCTTTTCAATTATGCGGTCTATCAGTTTCATACGAAGCGAGAGCCATTGCTCTTGCAAAGCGTTGCAATGCGGCAAGGGTCTAAGGGGGGGGATTGAGAGCAGCTAGACGTCCTCCCAAAGCATCCCAAACGTGCTCAATAGAATTCAAGTCCGGGATCGAGCTGGCCACTCCATGTGCATAATGTTTTTCCTGTTAAATAATCATATACGATGAGACCCTGTGTGGTCTTGCATTGTCTTCCTGTAACAGAAAGCATCACCTATTGCCCCCATATGGGCGCACATAGCATCAAGGATGTCAATCTCTATAACATAAGCATTCACGGTTCCCCTTGGAAAAACATGGAGGTCTGTGCGTCAACCCAAAGAGATGCCACCCCAAACACAGACACTGCCTCTTCCATATGCATCTCTTTCACGAATGTTTGACGGATGATAACAGGTTCTAGGTTCTCTCCATATCAAATAACACCTACTATCGCTTTCTAGACTAAACCTGGACTCATCCATAAAAAGAACCGCCCTCTATTGATCAGGCGTCCAGTTGACATGTGCCCACTGAAAATGGTCCCTCCTATGGCGTGATGACGGCACAAATGGCTGGTCGTCTGCATACAGACCACCTTCGGGAAGCCTTCTATGCACAGTTGATTGACACGAACCTTCCAGTGGCTGCAGCAAGGGATCTAAGAAGATCGGGTAGCGGTTCTATTCCTGAGTGCACATAATGTCAAATTCGTCATTGGCGCTCGTCGTAGCAGTTGGCCGTCCTCTGCTGAACCTCCTAGATCCGAATCTGTGTTTGAAATTGCCTCCAAGTCTATGAACCACAGAAGGACTCCCATTTAGCCATCTGCCACTCTGTTTTGACTTTTTCTTGCCTCTAGTCTCCAAGGGCTTTCTTAATCGTAGTTTGCAGCAAATGATGCCTGAGGTCATTTTACGAATCGGCTATCTCATATTCTGATGTCACTATCACAGTGAACGGGCTTGCTCTCAAACATGGACTTTTATCTCGCAGATGCGTATTCCGAGCAGCGCCATAATTTGCATAGGAGTTTTACTCAGCTACTCTTACTTCTCAACATATTCAAATTTTACATGGTTTGACTTATATTTGAGGGAGTTTTTGCTATTTTGTGATTTTTCCTTAATTTATGATAACCAGTGTACCAGTTCAGTACAGCGGATTGCAACAAAAAAGCGAGCTGCATAATTAGATATTACAGAAATTCCATACATAAATTTCAACTATCTACAACTAATGGTTTTTGAGTTATGCAAGATACATACATGCATATGTACAGACATCACAAAAAAATCCATTTTGGAAATTAGACTTTTATTCTGTCCATACTTAGAGGTATCATGCAAAAAAAAGCATCTGAATGGATTTGGGAACGGTCAAAATGAACATTTCTGTTGAAATACGACACCCAAAATTTTCCACGAATCTTCCCTTCATACAAGGAAGCAAAAAAATATACAAAATGTCAATAAATACCAAAACTTCAACAAAAATAGTTTCTTTATACTCAATACTTAACTAATACTTAAGAAGTAAATAATAGATGGGCCTCATTCACCTCCCTCCCCAGGCTGAAAACCCCTGTGACAAAAGAAATATTGCCTAAATCAGTCCCTAATTAGCTCATCCAAACTTTGATGCTGAACCGCTGTTATACAATAAGAGTGTAATAAGACTCGTGGATTATCATATGTGTTATGACCATCGTAAACACCTCTAAATGAGAAGGTAGTCTCACCAGAAAACAGAACCCATGATGAAAAATTTAGAAAATTCAACACAGCATTTAACAAGCAAATTTCATAAGATAGCTGTAATCTCTAACCTCCAAAACCTGGATCTGCAGCAAGTGAAATGGATCTACTCATGACTTTATGTAAAATTCAATACAAACCTCCCTTGAAAGATAAAAATTAAATGAAAAAGCTTGGATAATTTTTATGGCCTGAACTCAATTTAGCATATAATCACTCCTTCCAATGTAGACCTGCATCTTGACAATTTTGCCCCTCCCCTCCCCGAGTACTTAATTTTAATTGTAAATATCACTAATTCAATAAATAACATAGCATGATCTCTAGTGTAGACATGTGAATGTTTGATGACTGAATATGTGTGTGTTGGAGAACTATTCATGATAGAATGCACCACAATTCAGCCATTTCTGCTCATTGCTGCTTGAGCAAGGTGCACGAGACCTCTCTGCAGTAATGTAACAATGCATCCTACTCGAATGACTATTGAAATACTATTACATCCTATTCAATTGATCATGAGTTATGTTGTCCATTCAATTTGGTTCCAAACATCACTTACTAACGTGACATTTCTGAATAAATGTTCTTAAGCTTTAATTTTAAAATTTGTATACATAATTCTGAAACCTCTATGTATGAGAAAATTTTTAAGCTTTGAAAGTATAATTATTTTTTATATTATCTATGTTTCTAATGACAGAAATATAGTGAAAAGATAATTATGTTAATTCAGAGCAAGAAATTAGAAGAAAACTGACTGCACAAATATTTATTTTAGTCTTAAAATTAAACTAGGTTTAATAACATAATTAAGTTGAAATGGACATTCTTCTCAAACTTGCAGTTTTAATAAGTTGATATTTTTTTTAACTTTGAAATTTCCATGCTTACTTAAAACTTAAATATACAATAAAATAAAATTTCAAAAGCATAGCTTCAGCTGTCTGAGGCTACAATTACCTTCATCACAAGAAGAAGTAGCGGCTGATGTACTATCTGATTCATTTGGTTTGTCCTTGAATCCGTCAGGAAATGCATTCATTGATGATGCCTCAAGTAACTTATTCTCACTATAAGTGTTACCTTTATCATGCTTTATCAGACTGGGTTCCTTAAGATATTCAGAGGAGTTCTTAAATAATTCATTTCTGAAGCTGGAAGCCGGGATATTATATCGAATGTTTTTACCAAAAAAATGTTTTTTGCTCACTTGACGTAACATATTTTGATCTAAAAAATCAATATCATTATCAGACAAATCAGGTTTATCAATTCTGCTACTTTCGTAAGGCTGGGCAGATGGTGTAACTTCTGAAAACTGTTGATAATGCAAAACACAGGCATCACTTGAAATTTGTTTACTACTCCTGTTAGATGTTTTAATATCTTCAGGAGATGGTAAAGCACTTCGAAGATCATTTGTATTGACTTGTTTTTCGACAGATTCTATCTGATTAAAAAACTGAATATTTTCATACACAGGGCTACACTGTACCTTCTTTTCATCAATGAATTCAGGTGCATTTGGAATGCCTTCAAGAGACTGAGATAATCTCTTCTGCAATGGTAATTTTGGTTGAAATACAATATTCTCATAAACTGGTTCATCAGACTGATACTGACAAATGTTAAGATCTGGCGTGGAGGATCTGTGTTTAAAATATGACATCGTACTGCTTGATCTAGTTTTTTCTAATGTATGGCCAGCTTCATACTTGTTTTTCTCTGCATCTAAATATTTAGATTTAGAACACTGAAAAATATCAAGAGAACTTCTAATGTTACATTTGGTACCTTCACCCTTCCAATATTTTATTAACGGCTTTTCATTCTGTACAATCTTATCATCAGAAACATATTCTTTATTATTAATTTTATTAACTTTTCTTCCAACATCCCCTTTACAAAGACTAGATGGACTTTTGGATCGAATGTTGTTTAAAAGAGCAGGATTATTCTTCTGAGGACTAGTCTTATCAAAATATGGCATTTCATTTCTCCTCAAACATAGCTGTTCACTATGACCAAACAAATCAGAATAATAATAAGGAGCAGAATTAGGAGATTTTGAGGTTGATGACTTTTCATGCAAAGATCTTGTATCCTCTATTATGGATGGTATAATGTCAGGAGTGTAGGATGACTTATATGAAACACAAGAGGATTCAATCAGAGAATTATCATGGCACATTTCTTTAGTTTCTGTCTGTGGAGCACTTTCCAGTAAAGAAGCATCATCAGGAACATTAGAATTTATAGGTTTGGAAGTACTTGATGGCACAGAATTGAGATGTTTTGCATCTTTTCGTTCTATGATTTTACATATCTCAGAATCTTCTAGATTAAATGGCACAGGGAAAATTTTTGGCGCTTCAGGCTTTTTGCCTTTGGTATATACTCTCAATTTCCGAACATGAATTTTCTTTTCATCATCAGATGATTCTTTTTTCATTACCATCTGACCACAATTGAGTTCTAAAGCAGAACCAGAATTTGAACATGTTACGGCTTCATATGATGGTAATGGTTTAACTTGAGGTAAAATTTCATGCTCTTTTTGATATGAAACATTATTTGTTGATGAACTGTACTGATGGAAGTAATACAAATCAGAAGAATTAAGGTGATCTTCATGAGCAAACGTAGCAATTTCAGAGTTAAATGAAGATTTGCATGGAATTTCAGAATTATGTGGAATTTCAGAATTAAATGATGAATTACATGGTATTGCTGAATTAAATGATGAATTACACCCAGGCTTCATTTCAATATTTCTCTCATTTTCTATAGGAAACTGATCTAATACAGAAGACTGATATGAAGACAAAGGGGCATTGGCAGTTGTATCAAAATCTCTGCTAGCCTCATCATCTGCATCTGAAGCATCACTGTCTTTCATTTCTTGTAACTGTAATAAATCAGGAACAGAAACACTGAGCTGCATTTCTTCATAATGATGCATATTTCGTCGAGAAGCATTATTCTTGTTACTCCTCAGATAATCTCTATTATCAACTTCACTACTTCTCCCAACAGCTGTCACATTTGAACAAGAAAGACTGCTCATTAAAACAAAATTGGTTTCTTGCACAGAATTATGAGTGTATTCACTTTTCATACTTCGAGATCCACTAGAAGATCCATATCTATGCATTGGTTTTTCATATATATTTTCAGTCAAAGAATCATCTGAACTGCTGGACTTCATGTGGTACTGAAATTGCTTTGTCTTCTGTTTTTCATAAACATCATGTAAGAAACTTTGCGGAGGAGAAAATGGTTCATTATACACATGTTCTTCACCTTCAGATGTATTTTTCAATTTAGGATCACTAGCAGAGCTTGAACATAGCTTACTGCTACTCATAGTTACATATTCTGGTTCTTTTAAAACCTTTATACCACACATTGGCAAGTATTCAGCTTCTCCATTTTCAAGAGATTCAGTGGCAGTGTCATTCACATGAGATTCTGTAACTCTTTTATTGATCTTTTTCAAATAAGTTTTTTGGCTAGTCATTTTGGAAGTATCATCATTGAATGCAAGAAAATATTCCTTCATATTATTAGTATGGATTACAGGTTCTCTTGAAGGAGGCTTATATTTTTCTTTGCCTGAATCGGCAGTTTTCCTTAAATCAGCCAAAACGGAAGACAATGGTGAGAGTAAAATTGGTGCTGATTTCATTGTTAAATCATCAGAGCTCTCATCTGTCCCTTCCATAGCCACTGCTTCTGAATCACTGTGTAAAATTCGTCTATTTGATCTCATGCGATTTGTTTTAAGTCTACTTCTTTTGCCAAGACCCCTACTAATAAAAGCTTCCTTTTGTACTGGAGTGTCTGATGGAAGAGAAGAACTAGTAACATTTCCAGCACTCATGTTCTTATTACTTTTAAGAGCATAATCTACAGTTTCAAACTTTTTGATACGATCCTGTACAATATTTGGAGGCGGAGCTTCTCTTTTGCGCAAAAGTTGTCCTCTCATTTCTTCATAACTTAAACTTTTCTTTTCTGTTTCACACACAACTCCTGCTACGGTGAAATCTTGGATTAATTTTGGTTCCGTGATTTTTTCTGGAGGATTGAAATCAAGAGAATTACTGCAAGGGTTTTTATCATTTAAGTGCGTTGATTGAAAACTGCTTTTAGCATTTGGTGCATTTGTTTTATTGACTAGCTTGCAAGAAGGTGCAGGAAGGGGAATTCCCACATCTTTATCAAGATTTGACAAATTTTTCTTATCTTTACCATATGCAGTGTGCCATGGGAAATTTGCATATGGTTGTGTTCTACTGGCAGGAAGAATGTCTTTTGATTCTGTATGCTGCTCAGATGCATTATGTTTATTTTTCATTCTTGTAGATGCATAGTATATTTGGGAAGCACGATAATAGTCCTCTCTTTTTATGTCAAATTCAGCCTCATCCTCATACATAAATCTTGAATCTATGTCTTTACATTTCTGTTGCTGATACAGTTGAGCTTCAGATTGTTGGTGTCCAACAGATTGATCCAGATCTACTTTATTAAAATTGCTGGAAGTATTTGAACATGATGTTAGTTCAGGATGTTTCATAATAGGTTGAATAACTTTAGCGTTCTGTTGATCATCAAAATGCAAATTTTTGGAAACTTGTTCTAATGGTTTTAATACAGCATGATTTATTTCTGATGGATTTTTATAAAGAGCATTTGCAGAATACATTTTCTGTGAGGAATCTGCCTGAAGTTCTCCAGAGAATGCACCAATATTTACATAATCAGGTGAAGAAGAATGGTATCTATCTGTCAGAAGTTGATCTTCACAACTAGCATATATATCACTTTTCTGTTCCTTAGAAGTTTTAGCACTTGGATTCAAGTCACATTCTTCTGTTATGCCATCTTGAAATATGAAATAAAAAATCATTATTTTACATCTCAGTTTTTTAATTTAGACTTGGAGAAATATTTTAGTTTTGCCATCCAACACCAGATATATGCACAAATTAAACATGCTCCAAATGTTGAAAGCACTTGAATTAATGAAGCAAATGGTTAGTCAGGTATCACAGTTAGTCAGCAGATAAAGAGTTCCAATGGAATATTCTGTACCGCTTGCAACATTCTGGCACAATACTTTACACCTTGAGCCAGCAATTGTTGTTAGTGGGCACTGCTGTCTTTGGTTATACTGAAGTAGTTTTCTCATAAAAAGTTTTAAAGTATCATCTTAACATCATGCACAAAGTATTAAGAAAGGAATGCAGTTGAAATGTTAGAATTCACAAAGTATTGTTAATAGGTAATCTCAGGTTAAATAATAATCAAGGAAGGCTTAAATGCAGTGTTATTTAATTTTTAAAAAATCCCCATTCACCAAACATATACAGCATGAACAAACTTCAAAAAAAATTTGTAAATTATTATACTAATTTTAATAAAATGTTTAACAATTTAGTGTTTGTACTTTTTGGCTAAAAAAATAAAACATAATGCTTTACTTATTTATATAAAACATTTACATAACTGAAATAAATGATTATTTGTGCTTTGCAATGTGAATGGAAGTACAATTATTCCAAACGTGTTATATTTATTACTTTGCAGTATGAAAGAACATACAGTGTATCACAATTTAAATAAAAATAATAGCTTAGTGTTGGGAAACAAACAAACAAAAAAAAAAAAAAAAGATGACTTAGTTCTGCACTTTCTATAGAGTATTCTATCTCTATCCTATTAGCAAATGAATATTTAAATGGGAATTATTGACAAATTATAAAAAAATTAAGTTATAATGTAGTGCAAAACTGTGAATCCTTAAATTAAAATCAAAACATTTTTCATTTGTTTTGACCTCTTTAAATTTTTAGATTAACATAATTATTACAAATTATAATTACTTTTCTAATTTTATCTGCTGACTGCAGTCAATTGTTTCATTTCAGTTGAATATCAAACCATTATAAAAGTAAGACGGGAAAAAAGTTTTCAAGCAAAGATCGAGTTGCAATTTTCCAGTACTTGATGCATCAAAAGAAAAATGAACAGTTGCAGAAAAGTGGAATTATGTTTGCTGCAAAAACAGTTCAAGTGCAACAAAATGACCATATCAAGAATTTGAAAACATGCTTCCAAAAATGATTGTCAAGATGAATCTTATGCTAACATTGATTCTTTGAAAAAACTAAACTGTGGACATAATGCAAAGATTATGGAGAAAAACTTGAAATCCTCTTAGCAAAGGAGACACCATACAAGCAGTAAACATAACTTTTAAAAATATTTCTCATGAAATACTGGATAATACATTTCTTGCACTTGAGCAAGTTAAGCTAAAAGCAATGAAGAATAATGGCTCTAATAATTTTAAGTCTACACATACAGGGAAAGCAAATCGTCACAGCCAAGAGATCTTACCTAAAATGTAGTAACAAAATTATTAAAAAATCCAGAAACTATGTGAACACTCAAAATAAAATTTAGGATTATTTTTTTTAATTTATTGTGTACACTAATTTAATTTTTTGATAATAAATGTTTCATTCTATACTCATTTTCTTTTGCTTCTATTATTATGAGACAAATTAAGTTCATCAACTGCTGCTATTATTATGGGACAGAGTGAGTATGAAAGAACGAAGCAGCATATTAAAAAAAATAAAGCACAAAAATATAACTAAAAAATTCATATTTTAACTTCCAGTAACAGAACTGAATACAGAACCACAGAATACAATCAGACTATCAAATGTATACTGATAGATCAAAATATAAGTTTGAATAAAGAATCACCTATAATATTTCCTAAACTGATTTAAACAGCTGACAAATATTCTAAATTATTCAACCTAACTACAGAACCATAAGAATAAAATGTTAATAATAAGATTATTTTATTTAATGAGCAACTTTTAATAAGCAAAAGAAGTGCCTTCTGTTCAACTATATAGAGTTCTTAATAAAAGGATCTTTTACATCCTTCTTGCGTTCTGTTATTTATCTAGGCAGGATGATAAGTTGCTTACATCTATTGGAGAGTATCAACTTTTTGTATGCAACCTAAAAGAGTAAAACTCTCCAAAGTGAGTGATTTTGGCATGTGAAAATGCTACAGAAACATATAGATGTAGTTTCTGGAATAAAAAAAAAATCATGACTTTGGGAGTTTAAAAAAGTGAAGATTATCATTACCATCTATCAAGCAAATAAGCATGGATAACACAAATATTAATGAATGTAAAATAATTTCGTAACCAAGGTTCAGCAACATTTAAAATCGTTAGTTTAGTGGATGCTGCAAACATTGTTTCAATTAGAGACAGCTTCTCAGCTCATAAATTTTAAGGTTAGCATAACATCTTCACCTTTTTTCTTCAAGCTGTACGTCTATCACTCATCCAATGGATATCAGATGCATACATTGAAATGCAGATAAAATGTAGTCTTTTCAAATTTAATCTAAACTTCAAAAGTGAGCAAGATAACCATCCAAAAATTTAACAAAACATTATATATATAGTACAGTACTACAAGGTCATGGGAGCACATGTACATCTGCAAATATTTTTATAAAATATTTAATAAAAATTGTGCAGCTACATATTCATAATGGTAAATGAAAATAACAACCATAAATTGAAGATTTTCGGAAAGTAAAAGACATAAATTTTCTGATTAATGGAATACATGAAGAAATAAAGAGAAATGCTGATAACTGAAGACTTCCACTGCATGCTCCAATCATTAATGATTTAATTGATGCTGAAATCTGGAGTATGGCACTAATATTTTCTGGATTTCTATAGAAAAGTTATATAGAGGTTGTTAAGAATGAAAAGATTCCAATTCCTAATTTAGTTCCAATTCTCGATACAGCAAATACATGACTTGGGAAATAGAATTCTGCAAATAAGTTATGACTCTTTATAAAATTACAGAGAAATTATTAACACAAAAAAAAAAAAAAAAAAAGTTGTTTACACAATTTCAACAAAAGAAATGTTCAACAAAACAAACCTTAGTAAAAAATTCTGCTTCTCTTAAAATCATAACTGCTTCATTATTTCACAAGTGGTCTTTTCATGCCTTTAATTTTAAAGATTTTATGATTTATTTACTAAATTTTAACTGACAATATGAAATTCGAAAATTTCCAAAATTATTGAAGCCTGGATGATTCTGGCTCTTCGACTTTGTACTACATGAAATGTTATACATTAAAATGTTAATTTACAATGACTTTTTGTTTTAGACATTTGTATTTTTAAAATTCTTTTGTATAGAAGTTGTACTAAACATTCAAACACATACTATATACATATATTATTTTTTTTTTCAAATATGTTACTTTTTCTCTATTTTAAACTTTACTTGTCTCAGGATAAATATCATCAAAAAGTGTTTATCAGTAACTCACATATTAATTTGGGCACTTCAAATTTTTGTTGAAGTGTTTTGGTAGACATTATTTTATGTTATAATTTTTTGTTTTAAATGAAAATACATCACAATAATATTGAATTTTCAAAATTTGTAGAGTTTGGAAGAATTTAGAATTTTTTTATTGTTCACCAAAATATATTAACGGTTTCATTATCTTAAGTTAACTTGGCAAGACACTATAAATTAACAACCAATTAATCTAGAAATTTACCAATTCATGTTTTTAAAATATTTCAAATATATATTTAAAAAATCCTTAATGTAAAGACCTATTTTTGCTGTAGCAAAATGATGGAAGTTTTGTGATCTGGAAATGCACTAGAGCATGAACCACATTCCCAGATAACACCAAAGAATTGCAGATTTATTCTATGAAATATCTAACAAGACCCAAAAAATTAGTAATGTAAACATTCAGCAAATTTAGAATAACAGTTTGGAATAAATGTTAACCCCGAAGTTCTCAGAAGAGTCACTTATGGTACATGAATACAGTGGGTGAAGGAAATTCTTTTTCAACAAGAAAACAAGGAAAATATGCCTGAGGCATTCACAAAATTTAAAGTAAAGAAATTTTAATCTTACTGACTACTCTTATTTTAATCTTACTGATTATTTATTATATTTGCAAAAATGTCAAAATTTAATATATTTGGATCTGACAGACAAATTAATAGATGGCAAAAATCAAATTAAGAGTTGAATTTATAAAAGAGAGCAACACACGAGAGTAAAGGCATAATGGTTTGGGGATGTTTCACTGCCTCTGAAATAGAAAATTAAGTGTTTATACAAAATAATATGATTTATATAAATAATCTTAATGAAAATGCGAAAGCATCCATAAGAAATCTTGGAATGCAAAATACGTTCAAGTTCTTTAAGGATAACAATTTTAAACATACAACCCTAAATGTTTATTCGTGACTGTTACACAACTGTCCTGAAGTTAACCAAACTTCTCTACATTCTGTGTACTTAAATCTTGGAGTAAACTGGAGAAAAAATAAGAAAAGATAATATTTTTTGAAGGCTCTGATAGAAGCAATTCTTATCTAGGAATGGAACAAACGGAATGTTCTTATATGAAATAATTAGTTGAATCTATGGTATGAAGCTTAAAGATATGCAACAAAATATAGAATATCCCATTATTATTATTTTTTTTGTTAAATATAAAGTGTTTACTTAAAGGTCCAAAAACTCGTACAAGTTCTATTTAAGAACATTTTCAAAAGAAGCAAGCTATCAATATTACATGTTAAAGAAAAATAGTCATTTTGCTAACATTTAGTAACAGATATCCGAAAAGAAAACAGAAAAACACAAGTGTCAGAAAACAAATGTGAGACACAGTATTTATGAGATAAAACTATAAAATTAATACTAATCTAAAAGATGTTTTCAAATTCACTAGCTCTTTAAGCTTTCACTAAATTCTTGTTTCTAACTCTTGTTTTTAAATTCTTGTTTATTTAATAACACAATTTACTGCACATCATTTCTTAAATATATGAACAAGAAAACTACAGTCAAAAAGTTAAAAATTCTATATTTGAATTCTTCTGACTTCAACTTTAAACCAAAGATGGCACAATACAATACAGTAAATCAAACTTGATGCTGCAGTTTTTTTCTACTATGCCGTTATAAAATTTAACTCAAAAGATATTATAATTTTTTCCACAGAATACATTTTTAAAACATCACTCAAAAAGGAAAATCTGGAACAGAGAACTTTCATGAAAAATGGTACAAAAGATATTACGATGAATGCACCAAAACAGAATGTAAGAAATAAAGAATAATAAAATATGCTTTTTTTTTTTAATCAAGGACCATAAATTTTAATGGAAACCTGGTGTCTAAAATCAGTTAAAATTTTTGGCACTAATCATCACATATTAAAATCTAAATTTGTATCTTTTAAAAAATTTTAAAATGTTATAAGCAATGGCTTACCTTCATCATCAGATGAATAAGCAGTAGCCTGTAATTCAACAGCAGAAGAATTACTTGTATCTGAAAATAGTAAAAATGTTAATTAAATGCAGAAACTTATAATACATATGTATAATATGTCATCTACCTGGCTATACAATGCCAAAAATACTATGCGACCAATTCTTGCAAGCGTTTTGGAGCTCTAGAATCTAAATCTGGAATTTTTTTTTAAAAAGTTGAAATTATTATTTCCTTTCTCAAATATTCTCTCTTTTTGGAGGGGGGGATATGAGAAGATCAAGATAGTTTCTTTACTTATTTAAGTGACAATTTCAAACATAAGATACAAATAATGGAACCTATGTGGGGATCAATAAAATACTGAAGTTGCATTCTTGCATGTTAAGAGTTTCTATGGAGGCCAAAACAAGCTGCAGAGTATACCAATATTACACTCCATTTTCAATAAGACCATCAAACTATATTTGCCAAAAATTTATATATATATACACACATATCTATAAACAGATTTTATCACCAAGGCATATCTATAAACAGACTTGCACCAAGGCACAGTACTAGAAAATCACCAAGTACCATACTAGATAATAACGCAAAATGTAATTATAATTTTGCCATCCTGTTGCAATACATAATTATAACAATTTCATAATTAATTATAATATATAAATATAACAATTCATATTTGATTATACTTTTAACTTGCCATAGTTTACATGACTATAAACACACTTTGTTGCAAAAAATTACACGCACCCATCTGCATTGTGAAACGATACAATGTGTATCTGAAGTGTGCATCTGGTAAAATGTAAAACGGCAGGTGTGACGAGTGATAAGCATTTACAACTACACTTACAGCTTGGATACACAGCACTGTAAAGAAAGATGCACTTGATGGCTCTACAAACAGTTGTCAGGCTTTGAAATGGGTTGCATCACACAAGTAAAAGAGGGCAGTTTGTCGAACAGGTGGATCAGAAAGCAAATTGGTCAAAGCAATATGGAAATCTGATCTTCAGCGACAAATTATGCTTTTCTCTCAATGCTGATGACCACTGCGTCCATGTCTGGAGACAGAGGTGGACAATCCAGGGTACCATTTTGTTACCGAGTGGCACACAACCAAAATACAAGGTGTCACAGTCTCGGGAATGATCAGCTGGGATAGTCGCTCATCATTAGTCATGCTGTAAGGTACTCTGACTACTCACAGATACATTTACAACACTTTGCAGCTGATAGTACTGACTATGGTAGCACGTCGTCCAGATTCAGCTTTCCAGCAGGACAATGCTCGGCCACAAACAGCACAACTTTCCCAACAATGTCTTCAATGTTTTAATGCGCTCGACTGCAGGCAAGTCTCCAGACCTGTCATCTATCGAGTATGTGAGGGAGATGTTGGGAATGCAAATTCCAGCCGAGTATAAATATATCCCATCCATTTGTGGCACAATCTGTAGTATAGGGTCATTGGGCAACACCAGCAGACTCCATGCCAACCGAGTATTGCTTGTATAGCTGCCTGGGGTGGCTTTACCACCTATTGATTTTCACATTCTCTGTACTGCTACTTGTACATAAAATTTTTTTCACCCCAGTTTTTATTCATTTATTTATCTACTCGAATACTATACTACTGCCAGGTTTCATAGTTGTGGCTCAATTCTTTTTGGGTGCATATATCTTTTGCAACACAGTGTATATATATATATATATAAAATCACAGACATGATGTAACAGATTAAAATTCTATATATATCAAAACTATTCTAATCAGAATTTCAATTTGACAAATCAATAACTACAAGGAAGTGAATATAATATTGCTGCATTATTTTTTTCCTTTGGTATGTTCGTACGTTACAGGGTTCGTGCAGATTTGGAGTGAATAACCACACTTGATGAGTATCAAAGCACACTTTATTTGCCAATATTAATCGACAGCTCCAAGTCATTTTTACATTGTCGAACTCTACTGTACCTCACTGAACAATCAGCGACACAGCCTTCAGGTTATCAGGATATAACAGCAGAAACAACCTCACTGCAAAGCACCAGAGTACTCTCCACGCTACAACTCACGACGCACTCGACAATACACAGAGCACAGCTCCAAACTCCTTGGTCCAGTCCTTCCCAGAGCTTAACACACTCTCTCGACGATACACTAAGAGACTCTTCGATGCACTCGATGACCCACTCGGCACTCACTGACTGAATGTCAACTCGATTGACTCCACACAGACTAACTAACTCGAGACACTAACTATCTGCACCAGCAGGGTTTATATAGTTTTTGGCTTGTGTTCGAGAAACATTGGCAAACCGAGAATTTTATTCCAGAAGGTTCTCCATCCGTCCATGGCATATTGCTAAATGTGGCAACCCTGGCTTCACTTACCATTTTATGGCAACCTTACACCTGCTTTGCGGGGAAGCTTATCTCATAATACAACAAATCTCCACTGTGGCTTAGAATGAGCTGTAGCTTGACAGCACTGATGCCAGCAAATGCTCAAATGTCTGCTGCTGTGATGCAACAGAGACATACGGTGAATATTGCAGGTTCCCTTTGAGTGGCATCACGTATGCAGCTGGACCCCGGCCATTTGAAATAGTACCGTTCCACGATATTGGTTGTCAACAACACCCATGGATACACAGTCTCTGTAATACGTGAAAAAATCCCCTTCTACAGCCCTTGTTTACAGGCCTCTTCAAACCCTAGCTGCTGAATGGACTTCTTCATCTCCTTAAAGGGCCTTTATTATCTAAATTTGTATATTTAGTCTCTATTTTCATAAACTTAACTCATTAAGGTAATTCATATTAAATAGTAAACAAAATATCTTAAATTATAAGCTAATATATACCGTGTGACAAAAAAACCTCATGACCAGATTAAGCCGGTCATGGTGCTCAGAGGGTTAAAAAACATCAGAGCACAAAGTTAGCAGTGGTTCCAAAGAAATACAATGATTTTCCACTAGCAAGCAATTTCTAGAGTCAATTACAATTTGTAACAAGAAAAAAGTATACGGAATGTAAAAACTAACAACATAGCTGCCAACCTTGAAATATGAAAAACAGCAGTTTCCAGGAGTTTTGCACACTGCATGCCATCACCACTTCAAAAGAACTCTAAAGTGGATTAAATTTGCTTTATAATGCATGACTCAAGTTATTCAACTATTTTTAACCTGATTCTGATGAAAATATATTAATATTTAACTATATACCCTAAATTCTATGATTTGGGGTTAATTTCATTTTGTAATTTTCTTACACCTTTAAACTGAGGAAATCCTAAGGAAGATTTAAATACAACTGAAAATAAAATTAATGACTAATGTACAAATTATTGAGTAGTTAAACTTAATAATGTAACACATATTGATATAAAACAAAATTAAATACAAATATTAACTGATTAAATATTAGTTGAATCTTCATATGAATATATACAGATATTTATAACAGATTAAGACAATTCAGATGAAATAAAATTTAACAAGAAAATTAATGCTGAAAATCACTAGAGGTAGGAGACTGAAACTTGCAAAATATAAGTTTCATAAGTCAATAAATTTCAATTATTGCTGGAAAACACTTTCAAAAGTAAAGGCTAAAATCAAATACTGGAAGATTTTGTGATGTACTGGTTGATCCAGAGACCTAATGAAAAATCTGGAGTCCTACAGTTTTGGGGAGAGTTGAGACCTGTGTAACACCAAGTTGGCAGGTGAATGAGAAAGTGCACTGCTGATTTTTTTTCTGCAGAAGTTTGGAAAACCAGAAAGAACTAAATATTCTTTTATGGTTCAGCAGTCTATTACAATTTAATGAGCTTGGTCAATGACAATTAAAATCAAGGCACTTAATTTAAAGAAACACAGATTTAAAAATTCTATAATTTTAAATTTTAGACTACCTAGGAAAATAAATGTGCCGAACAAGTGCACTTAGATGAACAATCTTTTATTATTTTTACAAAAATGGAAGTTCAGAAGTACGATGATTAAAGTAATTAAACAATGAAACTTATATTCAGTATTTAATTATAAATCATTTCAATATTTATCAGTACAGAATCAAACTCCGTCACTGAAAGTATTTAATATAATTGTTTTTACCACATAGCTAGTATTAATTTTTTTTTTAAATTTCAATACACTCAAAAACTTCTTAAATGTTTTAACACTATTTTTTTAAATAATGAAAGGTGAAAACTTACCTAGCATTTCTTGAGAATTATTGAACTTTTTATACTCATCTTTAACAGATAACTGTTCAGATGAATTACATCCATCTTGTGTACTCAAGTCTTGACTTTCATTGCCAATATCACTTACATTATGCATTGTGCTAAAGGAATGCATTTGAGGAGGGTAATGGCTGTTTTGGAGTGTTTTAGATATATTACAACTGCTAAATGAATTGTCATCATATGAAAATAATATTTCATTGTTTTCAGAGTCAACACAATACATCAAATTTTCTTGACAAATGTTTTCAGTCATACAAACACGTGAGTCATTCATACTCAAGTTAGAATTAGTCTGTACAGGTTTAGAAACTGTATAATAGTCTCCTTGACTTTCATAGTCAAAACTGGGCACTTTTGAATCACAGACCTGTTGATTTTGATACTGTTTTCCTGACATATAATTATTATACACTTTACAAGCATATGGCTGAGAATTTGGCTCTGGGGAAGAATAACTATACTTATTATGACCAGATAAAGCATATTTACGTAATTCTGCCTCATGAGATTCCAACTCCTTCCTAACTTGCTTCTGATATTGATTCTGCATACCAGTTTTTAACGGGGAATTCATTGGAGAACTTGTATCAGATGATGAATTTGACTGCAAATGATTTCTTTTAGAAAGAGGAGATTGTAGCATTCTTTGCTTCCACTCAAGTAACCTCTGCATAGACTCTTCACGCGACTTTCTTGATTTGGATTGGCTGGTCTGTATATTAGAATTTTGAGGGTAAGATGATTGGGTAGTTTGGGGGCAAACATCAGGCTGTTCGTTCATAATACTTTTTGCTCGATAAGATGATGGCATGTAATCCTTATTCCTAAAATAACTATTGCCTACATAATGGATGTTAAGTTTCTGATCAGACGTAGAAATACAAGTTTCTTGTGCAGGTACACGAGAGTAACGAGGTTTAAGTAAATTCTTATTAGCATATAAGTTATCAGCTTGAACCCTGACAGCCTTCCCGATAATCATCAAAATCTTCCTCTTCAGAATCCACATATCGATTATAACATTCTAGGCTAGATTTTGGTCTCTGAGGCTGCAAATTTTCACAACACTTAACAGTATCAGGGGGTACGTGGCACTCTGAGTCCCGTTCCAAGAAATCTGCAGAATGAGGTCTAGGTGGTTGATTTTTGTACACATCAGAAAAATGTTCAACACCTGCATTTTGAGCAAAAGCATGATCGATGTTTTTTGGGGCAGATCTATAATCCATATCCTGGTTTGGTGGATGTGATACATTTGTTTCCATAGGAAGATATGTTTTAGCATTTTGGTTCTGATGACCAGAGTGTATTCTACTGCTCTGCATTTCACAATGATATTGTGATGAAGACATGCTATCTCGTGTGTCATAGCACTCATTAGGATATATGGGAAAACCTTCAGACTGAGTTAGCCGCTTTGGCTTTGGAGGAGCATTTGCATACAAAGGCTGTCGTCTAGGAGCATCATGTGGAGTGCAAGATGCTTTGTACAAATGAGATGGAATACTTTTAAATGTATTTGGATACTTATCATCACTTCCAAGGTACACTTCTCCCATTCTATCACCACAACTGTTTGATCTTTGCTTTAAAGGTTCATGAATAAAACTTGGGTCATACGTAGAGTTTAATTTGTGGCTAGTGTAACGTCTGGAGCGATATGAAGAAAATCCTGATTCTTCATCATCATTGCTAGCAGAGCTAAAAGTAGCATCAAAATTTTCTGATCTGCAATAGATGAAAAAATAAAATAAATGTTTTAAAATACACCTTATATAATTTCTTAATATGATTAAGTATACAAATAAAATATACCAATATACACGTTGCAAGAACTTTTTTTTTTTTTTTTTTTTGCGATACACTAATATCTAGAATTATTTTTCAATAAATGAAACTTCTGAAATTCTTAAAATTTTTGAATAAAACTGAATGAACTTATAGCATTACAACATATAAACACAAAAAACTGAATACAGCAGTACCCTGATATACATCATTATTTTGTTCCAAATATGTGGATGTATAATACTAAATGAAATTTTTCAATAAAAAAAAGTAATTAGTCTGTTCTTATAAAATAATTCTATTCTTGTTTTAATATTGTTTAATACTAAAATACAAATACAGTGGTTGAAACATATACTCTATAAGCACTGCATATTCATACATATATGTTTTTCTAATATCCAGATAAAAAGCAAGTTTTCAACATGCTCTAAGGTCTCTGGGCTTTGTTTGGTAATCAATTTCATTTCCTTTGCAATGTTAGGCAAGCCTTTGGTTTTTGCAATCATAGACATTTTATATGGCATATGGTACGCAAAAGCCAAGTCCTGGATATACAAGTCATTTTCATACTTCTCAACAATGTCTTTTTTCACCTTTACAGTGATCCTAACAAATTTCTTTATTGCTCCAATATTCTCATTAACTTTCCTAAAACTCGTTAATGAAATTACAAAAAAATTATGCAAAAATACATAAACTCAATTGAAAATTTCACATTTAACATGCGTTTCATTTACTGAATAGTAGCAACAGGCATAATGATGCTCTTGGGCAATCATAGCATTGTCTCGATAGAGGTAAATAAGTGTAATGCACACAGTCATGATCCACTGAACTCAAGTTGTATTCCAAACAAATGTTGCATACAAAGGGGAAAAAATGTTTTTTTTTTCCCATAGAGAATGTAATGTTGTATAACAAGGGAAAAAAAAAATTTTTTTTTTTGCCCATACAGGATGACATATTTAGCCATGTTAGACATACTTAGACATATATCAAGGTATGACAAAAATACATAACCAATAATTATATTATGAAATTAATAAAATTAAAACAACAGGTGGACTTTCTAAGGGAAACTGGCTCCTATACACATTACACATGGGGAAGCAGCCCATTCGCATGCCCATGCAGCCAGCCCATTCGCGGGATTCGAACGGTCGTTCAGCGACTTTACCGCTCGGCCGCTGATAGGCTCTCAGTATGATGGTTAATTAGAATTTGGGGGAGTTATTTTTACTCTTCCACTCCTCTACCAATAAGGTCACAAAGGAATTAAGTTCTCGTGAAGAATTTTGGCATGCAACAGCTCTTTAAGAATGTCTCATATATTCTACAGGATTCAAATTAAAAGATCTGTCTGATCAGTTTATTCATGAACTGCTGCTTAAGAAATTCATCACATAACTTTGCTTAATGTGGACACATCATCCATAATAGTAAAATCAGATTCACAAATACATCTACATCGAAAAAGATGTATTTTGGATCTGATTTGCCTTACTTACCAACTTTGTCAAAAAATTGGAAGACATATGAACAAATTTTAAAAAATTGCAACATGTAAATTTTACAGATAAAAGTGGCCCATATTTGAATATTTCGACACAATGACACAGAGGAAAACTCTTATAATGGAAAAAAAAATGAAAAATTCGACATGAAATTAACTCTAATATGATAACAATAACTTATCTGCTTTTAAGCAGTTTGGAAATTGTGCTATATATTTATCATCTTGTTTAAACTTAAGATTCAAGATATTCAAAAATCATCAAAATATAAAGAAAAGACATTTTACAAGACAGAGGAAAATTAAAATGTTTTATATTCATACCTTTCCCCAAAAAAACATAATTGCAATATATTATCTCTATTAGAATTTAAAAAGCATTATTCGAACAATCCTTATTTTAATAACACAGTAACAACATTATTATATTTGTTAAAAAAATCAATACAACATATGCAAATCATTAAATTAGAAGTTTTGTAGATAAACTGATCTTAAAATCACTAAAATGTTCATAAGGTGATGAATTTAGAAATTCACAACAAAAGAATTCATATTTCAAAAATGACTCATTGTTAATGAAATTACAAAAAAAAAAAAAAAAAAAATAAATAAATAAATAAATAAATAAAAAATAAAAGTGTTTCTGCTATAATGATTACAATGAATTTAATATAAATGCCTGGCAAGAGTGCACATTTTAAATAAAAATTTGGCACCAAACTGCCAACAGTGTTCATTGAACACTAGTCCATTGTTATATCCAGCTCTGATATTCTTGTACTGAATTTACACAAGCATTTTGTTCAGAAGTTACTGAAACACAAATGCTGGATTTCTGGCGAAAAGACTCTTCTCATTAATTACATAATTTGCCATGGAACAAAAAAATTTGGTATCTTCTGATTATCTGTAACTCCACTGAAGAACTACAAAAAAGTATTTAGAGGGAAATGCAGTATGTTGCTAAAATAGTTGCATGGCAACTAACGATATCGCCAAAAAGTAATTATGTGTCAGCCAATGTATGTGCATAGCCCATCTGTTTTGGTCACTGCATAATCCTGAAATTGTACAATGCTGAGTTTGTACTGGTGCTTTATTTATTTATTTTGGCAAAAACAAATCACTGTACATATGGAGAAAGCAACAACACAAAAGAGATGGATTTCTTGAAAATGGTAAGTGTTTAATTACTGATGTTTCTTGAATTTTATTAACCGATTGCTTTTGTATTGATTTCTTAGCAGTCTGCCATTTTGAAAATGCTTGTTATCTTTCATGCATTAGTCACCAAAATAAATAAATAAAACAAATAATAAATTAGTCACCAACAAGTTCATGAATGGTCTCCAAAGCAACCAATGAGTTTACGACTTTTCAATGAGAGATGTGGATAATCAGAAATTACCAAAATGAAAAAACAGCTATGAACTCTGACTGCAGAGAATCAAGCTCATGTTGTAGCAGATAACTATAAATAGAAATCAATCTTGAGAAGCAATTCACTTTCTTCTACGACTTTGTTTTAGTTCCAAAGTTTTAAAAATTATTTCCAGATGATAACAATCATCAATTTTGAAAGTTCTGTAATCTGCCACTTCAAGATGGCCAAAAAATCTTTACTTCAAAAATTTTTCCAGATGATATTTCAGCACAAAAAAACAGACTATTTTGAATGGATACACATTGAAATCAACTTTGAATTATACAAAACCTTGAAAAGGAGGAAATTCAAAGTTTCGGAGAGGAATGTTGTCAGTCTTTCATATCCTGTAAAGTATTTAGTTTCAGTTTATGAATATAAAAAAACTACTTTTATTCAAGTTTTGGTATTTATCAATATTTCTTCATTTAAATGAGATCAATGATTTGTTTAATTTATAAAACACATTTAAATGATAAGTTTAATTTACAAAGCACATTTCAAATAGTCTAAATTTAAAGAATGTATTTGTGTTTTTCGAGCTTTGAAAAAGAAGAGAAGTGATCATCTAGCAATGGTGAAAGGTGGTGGGTGAAAGAGGCATAAAAGGTTGAGAACCACTATCCTAGACTGATATCATGGCATTAGCTGCATGTCAGAGATGATAGAATGATAATGATAATTAGGTTTTCATTTTTCCCAATCCATAAGCAAATAAATCAAGCTAACTGGTTATTTGATCGAATAACTTTACTTTTATGTAATCAAAAATAGCAAATACATAGCCCATTTTCTTTATAAACTATACTGAATTAATAAAATATAATTTGCAGTAGGATAAATAATTTATTACATAAAATGTCAAAATATCATGAAAGGTTTTATAAACTAAATTATATAAAAAATATTTTTAGGCGGTTGAAATATCACAATTTGAAATTACTTACTTCACAAACTTTTGCATTATAGAAGCTAAAGACATAGCATTCATCCACCTTTTCATACTTTCTTTATCTTCAGCAGCAAAATAATATGTTTTCATATTCTGATGTTCAGCCTAGCATTTTAAATATGAATCATGTTTCACTAAATAATATACATGTTTACATTACACAATAACATTACAATATAATTATTAAGTAATATGCATGTTTTCAAAATTTTTCAGTATAACTTTAGCACTTTAATGCTGAGAAAAATATTGCTATGAAATGTACAGGTGCGATAAGATGGCTTTCCTGCAAAACAGTTTTAGGGTTGCCCCATTTGGCGACAAAATTGGCGATATACCATGGACGGATGGAGAACCTTCTGGAACAAATTCTTACCAGTTTAGCCCAGAATGTTCTCGAACACAGGCCGAAAGCTATATAAACCCTGCTGATCAGCAGTCAGTCAGTGTGTGTCCCTCATCGAGAGTGTGTCTCGACTAGCGAGTCAATCCTTGTGGAGTCGATCGAGTTGACAACCGGGCAACGAGTACCGAGTGGGTCGTCAAGTTCACCGAAGGAGTCACGGTTAGTGTATCGTCGAGAGAGCGTGTTGAGTTCTGGAAAGGACTGAACCGAGAGTCAGGAGCTGTGCTCTGTGTGTCGTCGAGTGCATCATGAGTTGTAGCGTGGAGAGTCTCGAGAGTACGTGGAGTTCCGAGAACGACCAAGCAGAGTCGGGAGTTGTACTCCGGAAAGTAGAGTCGGGTGTTTTGCAGGAAGCTGTCTCCACCGTGACAGCCTGATAACCTGAAGGCTGTGTCGCTGATCGTGTCAGCGTGTTTATAGTAGTTCATCGACGACTGTAAACCATGTTTTGGAGCTGTCCTGACAATATTGTCTAAATAAAGTGTGTTTCGATACTTCATCAAGTGTCGTCGTTATTCACTCCAAATTTACGAACCCTGTATGAACGTGAAGGAAGAGAAAAACGTAACAATATCATGCAACTTTTTCAAGACAATTAACATAGACATTGAAGTGTTTATGTTGATTAAAAGTTTTTGAAAAGCTTCATTAAAAAGAAAAAATAATCTTATACTTTCCTACCAATAAATTATTGACAGTCACATAGAGGACAAATAATATACAGATAAATATAGTTGGATTTTCCAAAATGACAGTCTTTAGTAGCTTTTTAACAGTTTGTACTCCGATTAATTGGTTCTGATTATTTAAATCTTTTAAAATTAATGATCAGCATTTTAAATTTTCTCAAGATTTCAAAGAAAATATCTAAATGAATTAATAAAAGGATAATTTCACTGTACCTCAGACAGAATATTCTACTTTAAACAAAATATATCAGAGCTGGCACAGAAAAATTTAATTTTATGTCAGCAAAAAATATCAGAATTTATCAAGGCAATAATTAAAATTTATCATTGTAATAAACAGAAATGATTTTAATTTAAAAAAATAACAAATTCAAGAGAATTTTTTTTTTTTTTTTTTTTTTTTTTTTTTTAAGTCTAAAATTTGTTATTCTTGTAAATTAAAGTAAACATGATGTTTTCACTTCAACTAAATGACTAGTAAGAGTTAGATTAAGAATTCATTGATATTTTAAACTTCAAGTTAAATACTGATGAATTCAATAGCATCCTTCGTTTTAGTGAAGAGATGTGCAAGGTAATCATCAATATCAGATACTCTCAGTGAATAAGTAACTGACTAGGACCAGTGTGGAAATGTAATTTAAGTTGTTTAAAAATTAAACAATAAGAAACTGAAGGGAAAAAATCTTAAGGAATCATAAACTCGTAGCAGAATTATCAGGGGAAACTGGAGACCCAATTAGTGTTAGAACTGTGACAGATTTTCAGGACATAATCTGAAAGGTTGCAAATTTAGAGAGTAGCCGTGATTCTCAGTGGAAAAAAAAAATTTTTTTTCTGAAAACCATTGCTTATTACTGAGATTAACATTTGTGGTTTTATTACACACAAATAGTTTGAAGACGGAGAATTTTCCCCCTGAGGACTCAAATTTTCAGATAAAATGTTTTGCTTCAGTTTCCACAAAAATAATCTTTCAAAGATATCCAAAATATTTGAAATTACAAACTAGTAGCTTAAACAATATCATTTCCTCCCAACTTTTAGATATTTGATACATCTACTACATCGTACATGAGGTAAAAAAATAGTGAAGAATGTAACACAGAGTGTATAGTTTCTACTGCATAACACGAAAGAGGCAATATTACCATTTGGGGTTGTACGGCAGTCTCAATGGTGTAGGCAAAATGTACATTTGTAAAGCCACATGGTGTGTGTATTTAATTATGGCAAAGCACACGAGAGCTATCTGCCTAAGGGGAGGGATGCCTTCGTGGAGGACTTTCTAAGGGAAACTGGCTCGTATACACGTTACACATGGGGAAAACCACGAAAACGCCCATGCAGCCAGCCCGTTCGCGGGATTGTAAAGCCACATGAATAGCCAAAATATATCAATGCTCTTGAAATGACTCGAGAACCATCCTTTCAAATATTATTCAGTGATACATACAAGGATACAGTTAATTTCCATAAAATAATACACCATCCCACAAATCAGCGATTTCAAAGTAGTGGATTCTTAATAATAAAATTGATGTTTTAGATAGACCGAGATTTTAATTTAACAGAACATTTGTGGAGTCTTTTAAAGGGAAATTTTTCAAAATACTCAAATAACACCCAAAGATTCCCTTGAAATTGATCTTGAACAAGTTTAAAATGGCATAAATATGGAAGAATGTTGTAAACTAGTAGTCAGTATGTCAAGCAGAATTACTTCTATAATTAAATAAATATTGCTTACATTAAAAAAAAACGTAGTTTGGTTTATACTTAAAGTTTGGTTTAAATAAATGCATCATTATAAAATGCCCAATACTTTTGGCCAAGGCTGCATATTAGATCTTTAATGAATGCATGAGACTGGTAAGGTATTTGATAAGAATTATGTGAACAAATATCAGAACTCAAAGTATACAAAACAATGGCAGTCCTATTACTACATACCACCATATACAACAAAATTATGTTATCTTTTATGTTACTGAATTCAAGTTATAAGCCAAGTTAAGGTCTTATTTATTTTCACTTTCTCACAAGAAATTCAACAGAAAGGTATCAGGAAGACACTAATCATTCTGTTCCTCTGACTATCAAGACTGCCTTCTTTCTAGAATTCAAAGGACCAGGCAGAATATTATGACATATCCATGATATGAAATTAAAGGGCATGTACCTGCACAAACACTGTAATTAATACAGTAAGTTATCTTTCTGCATAATAACATATGCCCATGTATTATCAATGCTAGGAGATGGGGGGGGCATTTTAAATGAAAGACTATCATATGAATGCTTGAATATCAACTGCCCTCCTAAAAGTCCCCATATTTCTCTCTTCATGTGACTTTAGTTCAATAAAAAGCTTTCTTAGGGAGTGTTTACATAACTAGCTTAATGTTCATAAGTGGCACAAGAAGAATTTCATTGATGGGCAACTAGATCTTACTGCATCCAGAAACTAATGCAACAATTTTGCATAAAATGTTCTACATTTTTCAACCTTACACCCAGATGGCATAAGGATTGATCTCACAAAGATTGATCATAATGAAGCAAGTACAAGGCTTTCACACCGATCATAATGAAGTAAGCAAGTAGAAGGCTTGCATATACATTCATACATGCACAAATTTATCCTTATTAACTGACTGCAATTTAGACCCCGCTCATCTAATGAAGCTAATTTACATTTTATAACTACGACAGCTATGATGTTTAAATCATTATGTGAACGCTCCTTAAAAGGACAACTAGAATCAAATGATAATGTGAAAATGGCCATAGCAGATTTTCTAGGAACAAATATGAGAATTCTACACCAGTTTATTCAACCTCATCTAATGGTTTGCTTCAGTTGTCTGACAATCTGCTTATTTGGCACAACTTTCTTCACTACACCTTGAAAAGAAATTTGTTAATTCCCCAAACCCACCCTGTACATTTGATTAACACTATTTGATTAGATATAGCATTTTACCAAGATTAATTAATTAAGCAAGCGATTGCTGTAAAAGACTAAACAAGCTGCATTTCTGATGTACTTTTTTTAATCTCTTGCACTACATTAATTTTCCTAGTTTCCTCTTAGTTAATCTGATTTTTAACTGTTACTGTAAAAAATGATGAGCAAGTTTCAAGCTAAAATATTTAGAGAACTGCTTTAGGAGCTTCTATCTCTTCTAACCTGAAGAAGCTTATGATTTACCTAAAACATTTATCTAATAATTTGAGTCTAATGAAAATAGCTATAATTATAAAAACCTTATTTGTAAAACCATATAATCTGTTTATAGATGGTGATTATAATTCAAGCTGCGATTTCAACAGGGTTGCCACTCAAACGGGAGAATGAAATTCCCTGACTTTTCCAGGTTTTCCAGGTGTGTTTTAAAAAAATTCCAGTCTATTTCGCATAATGCCCAATAGCTGTTCTAAAAGGTAAATTATGTTACCACTTAAAAACACAAAAATTTACCAATTACATATGATTATTTATATGTATGTATATAATCCCCTCTTTTATAACTATAATAGGAGTTTTTTCCACAGAAGATGCCCAATCTGGATTAAAAAACGTTTTTTTTTTTTTTTTTTTTTTTTTTTTTTGTTGACATTTTGCAACTAAAAGAAGAAAGAAATCTAATGATATTTTTAAATAAATTCAGGCATTTTATATTTATTCAGCAGCATAGATAAATAAATAATATGTGCATTAAATTTCATGATAGTATGTCATCATACTGATAGAATTAGTTTTAGAATTATGACAGGGAAAATTTCCTGAAATTTGAAAGTATTATTTACTACTAATAAATCAACTTAGAGGGAAGAAGCAACATTAAAAATTGGGTAACATTAAAAAAAAAAAAAAAAAAAAAAAAAAAAAAAAAAAAACTTTAAAACTGAATTGGAATAATCAATGACATTTTAGAGAATATAGTTATATTAGATGGTTAGCCAGGATGACTAATTACAATTTTTTATTTTACTGCAAAATGACAAATGAGGCCTTAATTAAAAAGGAAAAAAAAGGGGGTTTAAAAGATTTTGCGGTAAAATCCTAGTAGTATACACTTTATGCCCTTGGAAAAATTTTGAAAATTGTCACCAACACCAAAATTACCCGTTTACTGCTCGCCAAATCCCGTGTGTACCGCAGATGCAGGTTAGAATAGAATGCATGAACCTCCATAGTACCATATACTAGGATTAAATCGATTTTGTTCTTTTACGAAAATACGTATTTTCTTTAGTTAAACATGCACTGCACATGGAATGACGTTACTGGAAACAAAAAGTTGCTGGAAACTTGCTTTGCCTTTCTAAAAGACAATCTAATTGGAGCTGCGAAAATTGGCTCTATGCCAGCTGCCCGAATGACGTTCACATGAAACATATAATTCGCCAAGAAAGTGATTGCTTCCAACGTTGGTGCAAAACTCGCTTTTGGGGGGGGGATTGCCATATGAAATTCCCCGACTTTTCCCTGAATGTTTTGGTCAACTTTCGAATTCCCTGACTTTTTCCAGTTTTCCAGGTAGCGTGGCAACCCTATTTCAAAATGGTCTAACTTTAAAACTACAGGTCAGAATGACTTCATATTTTACTAGAACAATCCTGTGGTAATGGATTGTTGTTTGTTTATGAAAAAATGACAGTACCTAGAGTCATTAAATTTTGAATAACATTGTCCTCCACCTGAACATGGGCACCTGAAAGTATGAATTTTGTATTTCAAATTTTGTAAAACTTTAATAATTTTTTATTAACAAACTCAACAATCTGAAAGCAAGCAGTGGCAACACTGTATGGAATAAAATACTTTTATCATGAGACTGTATGTTGAAAATTCTTAAGATACACTGTTTTTAAATATTTCGCGATTTTCCTGTTGAACTAGATTTTATGTGGCTAAGTGCAAAGGATGTGATTATTTAATAAATAAAGGTAACACACAAATGCTATTAAAAAAAAAAAAAAAAAAAAAACTAGGACAACTGAACACTGATATAATGAACTGAGAAAAGGTAGGGAAAAAAATAGAAAAACGTATGCCAACACTTAACACTGCATCAGGAATTCTAAACATATGCTACTATGCTACTTTTAATTTTTTTATAATTCTGCTATTGAATTGTAGATGGCATAAGGTCGAAGAAAATGGTGTTTAGTAATAAAGCTACCAGAAGTGAGTGCAACAGTATACTGGAAGAATACGAGCTCAGCAAAAGCATAAAAAACCTTAATAGATCCTTTTGGGCAATCATTAAAATCTGATCTCGTTCAGATTCCCTTACAGTGCACAGTAAAATCAGTGTCAGTTCAGAGGTTTTAAGTCTAAACTATTGTTGTTAACTTGCAGTGAATACAGAGAGCAAAGTTAGGTCTCAGCATTTAAAACTGATGCATACTTGACAGGTGTCATGGCTCATGCATGCTTGACAACGGCGAAGTAGCCGGCAATGGTGTCAATGAGTGCTTTTGATGCCACTAGTGCCCATTCCTGTAGTAAAGCATGTTGGAACTCCTGGAGGGTGCCTGACAGCACACTGCAACCTGCTGTCCATGGTCATAATATGTCCCATACATGTTTAATGGGATTCATCAGTCCGGCGATACAGCAGGCCAAGGCAGATGTGAAACGGTTTCACTCTCCAGATAACTCTGCATCATTCCAGCTCTATGCAAGGTGTTATTGTCCATAAATATCGCATCGGTACCCACTGCTTGAATAAAAGATGCACAAGATGGTGTAGAATTTTATCACAATGTCACACAGCTATGATGGAGCCATGAGATACCATGTAAAGGACAGTGCAGCCCTTCATCATTATCCCAGCCCATAAAAGCAAGCTTCCTCCTCTGTAATAGTCCCTTTTGACAATGACTGCCGCCTGATAGCCTGTCCCTGGCTTGTGCCTTATCATTGCACTTCAGGAATCATTCTAAATGTTAAATCAAAATTCATCTGTATAATCCTCTGGCTCCCAGACACACGTCTTCTATAGAAGACATGTGTCTAGAAGCCAAAAATGAACAGCCCTTTGATAATGATTCCACAGCCTATTGATGACAGTATGATGCACATTCAGCTATCTCACTACAGCAAATTGTCTTGCACCATCCCAACAGTGCTTCAATGCATTTCATCATGCAGATGGTAGCTTTGGCTTATGCTTTCCACTTTGGATATCTCGTATTATAACAGAACTATCACTACATGCAAACTGATATATAGGTCCAGCATGCTCCTTTTTAAGGCTTTAGGGTGTGACTAAGGGATTAGTTTTATGCTAATTTTGGTTGTCTATTTGCATGCTAATTTTGGTTGTCTGGTGATGTAACCCCTACCTCATATGTAAACTGCATGTTTTAATTCCGCTTTTTACATTCGTACCTTTTCAATGTTTGTTTCTAATTCTTTTAGCATGAGTGTATTAGCATTAGTAATGCAATACTAATAATAAGATAACAAGCAATATATTAATTCCTTAAATACAGGAATTTAACAACAGTACACACTAACTATTTATAACACTGGTTTAATATTCCTTCATAAAGTATACACAGAACAAAAAGCTTACTTTGAAAGCAAATTTTCTTGATATTTTATCTTCTGTACTGCAAGGGTTAATTTTATAGCTTGGAAGCAAAATCGATGATGTTACTTTTTCTTCATGTGGCCCTAAACACAATATACACACATTTAAAAAAGTACAAATAATAAAATTTTCTCTAAAATAATAACATATAGAATTTGACTACATTATAATGATGGTCATGTTGGTAAACTGACTAGCAAACTTAGAAGTGCACACTAAAGAATGGACACCATACAGCAGTTCCCTAGTAAAATATAAAAAACAAAATACTTGAAATGTAAATTATCTTGCACCCTCATATATGAAAATTATGATCTACAAATCTGAGAAATAAATTAATGAGAAACTAAGATAATGGATTATTCAGGAGGTGGAACGCACTCCAGTTTTAACCAAAAAACTTTCTAGTATGGAATCTGAAACCCTCTCCTCCTACTACCACCAGCTACAGAAGATTTTAAGTGCACCTGAGATGTATCCAGCTTCCACTGATGGTATATGCTACATATAGCCAAACTGCAACTTTCAAACCCATTAATTGCAGAGCCCCTTAAATGCAACAAATAGGCTTCTTTATTAACCTTTTCTCGACGGCGCACCTTTGTTTAAGATGCTCGTGCGGGACGGAACAGAATCGAAGGCAGTCACCGTACAGGACGAAGGTTTTGCATCGCTAAGCCTAATTTTATAACAAAAATCAGAAAAACAAAAGTTTCGCTTCTAGCATTGTAATTTTTGGTATCATTTTAGATTATTACTTGAGCTCTTATACATGTTAAAATTAGCCCTTAAAACATTTTTTTTCTTTATTTTCCGTGAAAATATACTTAAAAAATTGCTTACCTTCTAAAATAATTTTCGGAAGTGCTATTCAAATTATTCCAAAGTTTTAATTGATAAAATCCATCAATAAAATTTAAAATTAATAAAAAGAACACAATAAAGACTATTTACAGTAAGAAGTAACAAAATTTAAAATGAAAACGAGTGTGGTAAATCTCAAAGCACAGAGAAGTATCACTTTTTAACGCTTTAGAAAATGAATCAGTACTCTCATTTGCGTTAGTAAATGGTTCACTGACCATACTAGGGTATTCTTCCTCTGATAAATAACACCTTCCCGCCTTAATAGACTGGAGGTGAGGCTTTCCTAAATAAAAAAAAGAAGGAACAAAAATATATCTGAAGGCAATGCAAAACGTAAAAAAACTCCACACAGTAACCTAAAAGACCATACATAGTAGAGGCAAAAAATAGAATAAAAAAAAGGAATTGGATATAAATCAGATACGAGAATGTTTTCATTAGCACACAGATTTAAAGAGCCCACCTGCGTTTACGCTTTCCCTCCGCCAGCCACCCTCAAACAGCTGATGAATAAAATACCAAATTCAAGCAGAATATATCAAACTCAAGATCAGAAACCTAAAACTGCGTTCATTTCAAAAGTAATGGACATAGGATGCCATCTAGTGGCCTTCAGAAAAACGTTCCACCTTAAAATGCGTATACTCATCACCCGTCCTCTGAATGCGATCTCTGGAATGATCTACAATCCGGACCTCAAAGCTACAAACTTTTTTTTTTTTTTGTGTGTATGCTTTACGCATGCGCACTTAAGATAGTGAAGAAAGTGACAAAGAGGTTATTGAAAACGAAAACATTTCGATTGACAAAGTTTGTCGGTATTCTTGATTCTTGGCACAGCAATTACAGGACTTGAACAATGGAACTTTGTAACTGAACAAGAAATTATGTCTGTTTATAGAATTAAAGAGAAAGTATTAGCACAAAAACGAAGCAACTTAAACAACTAACACTGAAAGAAATGTTTAATAAAGTAAACAAATAAATATTAAGCTTTTTTTTTTTTTTTTTTTTTTTTTTGTAAATTTTGATACCCTTTAGATCATAATTGCTCTTTATTTCATAAACTACGGTTTCACATTTTTAATTGTATAATTTCTGCATGCCATCTAACCAGATTTAAATTGATCTATAATCCAGAAAAACCCCTAATCTGGAATCACCGAAGTCCCGACGAGTCCGGATTACAGACTTTGTACTGCATTATGCATAAATAATGCATATGCATGTGCATACTTATATACACACATACATGAAAAAATGCATACACACATACAAAGTTTTCTGAATACGATCCCAATAACAGAAGAGTATCAAAATTTTAACAATTTTTTTTAACTCATCAGCTTAAGTAAGAATTTGAAACAATATACAAATAATTTGATCATGAAGATGAATAATTGAAAAATATTAAAAATTGTAGCAGTTGGAAAAAAGCTTATTATTAGTAGCTTTATTTCCTTTAATCCTAATATACATTAATAAAATTTCTCAATATATAGTATTCAACTCGGAATTTTATAATAATTCTGATAAATCTCTAGCTGCTACAGATAAGTTCAGGTGAATGGCTTTGCAACTCTATTTAACCATTTTAACATCATCATCATCTGCCTTGATATTATTTTTAGTTCCATCCACAGTGCAGCTGATGTGATATTTTTTAACAATTAAAAAATAATTTTTGGCCCCATGTGTAAAATGTGTAAATATTTAGTACAGTCAAAAGTCGTTAATTCGGACACCCATAATCCGGACCTCAAAGCTACAAACTTTCTGCGCATGCGTCGCTTTGACACGCGAATAGGCATTTACGCGGGCGCGTAAGACCTTTACGGCTGCAACTATGTGTGTGCACATGTGCGTTTAATATATAACGGACAGTATAAGCTAAGCTAAAATTATCTAATTCAGTTAATGTTGCAGATTGCGTTGTTCCTTAATCTTCGAATTGGATCCGGCTTTTTGTTTTTTGTAGACTGTTACAGCAACTTTATAAAAGTAAGCTTGAACTTTGGGTTATGTCAAATAGAATTTATGATATATATTTACTAATATGTAAAGGATTTACAAAGCGAAAGTATATTTCGAAATCCGAAATCTGTTTATCAATTTCACGCTGGGAGGGGGGGGGGAACGCCGTGGCGCGTAATGAATTGGAAGTTGATCTGTCAGCACTATCCTTATCTTCACGGCAGATGTTTTTATTTTATTTGGCTTATAATTCCTTACTAAATGTAGTATTTCATGTCATGTACTCTGTCTTTGATATAATTTAAAGCAATTATAGGACTTGAACAGTGGAACTATGTAACTAAACAAGAAATTATGTCTGTTTAATAGAATTAAAGAGAAAGCATTAGCACATGAAACGAAGCAACTTAAACAACTTACATTGAAAGAAATGTTTAATAAAGTAAACAAATAAATATTAAGCTTTTTTTGTAAATTTTGATATCCTTTAGATCATAATTGTTCTTTATTTCATAAATTACGGTTTCATATTTTAAATTTTGTTATTTCTGCATGTCATCTTACCAGATTTAAACTGATGATCTATAATCCGGAATCGCCGAAGTCCCGACGAGTCCAGATTAACGACTTTTGACTGTACTCACCTTCAGCTCATTAGCTAAGTTAGACGACCAACTACTCCTACTTTTGGTGAAATCGATTTATAGGGTGTTTCTTAAATTCAGCTTATACATGATCTTTCAATTTCAGCTAAATTTTTATACAAAAATCTTACTTTTTGTCTCGTACATGGATCAGATTATATTTGAAAATATGCAATAACAATAAACTTGAAATTATGAGAAAATTTTTATTTTAAAATGATTCCATGAAGCTAATAGATGCTAGATAAATAATAAAACAAGTACAAATCAACAATGAGCAATTCTTTAGTCCATAATTTTGGGTTCGTGGTATTATTTAAAATTATGAAGTTATTATCGCAGTTACTCCAATTTTAAATACAAATAATTCAGAGAAAAATTAAAATTTGCTTTTTAAAATCAAATCATTAATACTATTAAAAAACAAGAAACTAATTCACCTTTGTAAAAAAACAGACAAAAATCTGCTAAGACACACCATCGTTGTTTCCACTGCTTCAAAGCACCACCTTCTAATTTGTACAGCCAGCCTTCAATTACAACCTGAGACTGGCTGTCTCGTTTAACATGTGGTGACCTAAAAAAGGAAGTTATAATATGAATCTTCTCTTTCTTCTACTGTATTATGGAAAATGATTTTTTTTTTAAAAAGAGAGAGTTGCAATTTTTCATACTGTATGATATTCATTAAAGCAATTCCCATCACCACCAAAAAAAAGTTAATCATACACCAAACATAATCCTAATTTATAAATTTCAATTTTTGAAAGACTTTATGCTATTAATTAAAAGTAAAAAGGATTACATAATTTATCATTTCACACACTAATTGTTTTTGAAATATTTGGAATGACTGATACTGTTTTCTTTTCCTTTTCCCAAAATACTGCTGAAAATCATACTGTGCCCCCTGTATATTGGTTTGTTTATCTTTTTCTACACTTTCACATTAACCAAACTGGATATAAACTGGCATGTATATCTTTCAAATGTGTGAATTAATGGTATCAACAAATCATTTACTGAAGAGCAAGCTTACATGCTTGATCAAATCTAATTACAAAAAAAAAAATTTCTAAAATTTGTTTCATAACACTTTCCTCTAGATGATTATATTACACTGGTGTGCAAAAATTACGGAAGAGATGGTTTTTTTCAATATAACTTTGTACAAAAGCTTTCCAAATCAACACATTTAATACCGTAAGATCCCCAATACATAAGGACATGAGTAATGTAAGCAACACTTAGTAAAAGAGAAATCAGAGGGATAAAAAGAAGCTTTATTGAAAAAGTAGCATGGAGCGCCAGGGATAAATAGAAGGGCTAGGTCATTCCTTTGTTCCACTCCTCACCGACGCCGCGAGTCTCATAGAGGGGGGGAACCGGAAGTAATCTGACGTATCTCTGTTGCACCTGCTCTGATTTCGCGCCTTTAAAACTGTAGTTTCATTCAGTTGCGAGACGATTTTCTGGAGATCGCATATCCCAAATTAATTTTAATCATACATATTTGTTTTCTAATAATGCAAATATTTAAAATAATTTGTGTATATATAGTTTCAGTTTTCCTTTAAATTCTATATTTAAAGTATCCTTTATGAAATATGGCTTCTTGTGCTGTAGCAACGTGCCGTAACACTTATAGAAATACGAAAGGAAGAGATATTGTATTTCATGCTTTCCCCAAGGACAATTTGCTTTTGACGAAAGAATGGATACATAAATGTCGAAGACAGGATTCTATTAATGTGAAAAAAGCAAGAATTTGCAGCGAACATTTTCTGTGCAGTGATTATGAAGATGACATGAGAAATCGCTTTCTTGGATTGCCGCAAAAGAAGCTGTTGAAATGCAATGCTGTGCCGAAAGTAAATTTATCGTGTTATCAGGGTCAATGTTCCTTCTTACCTTCTTCGGGAACATACAAGGACCTGACTCGGAACAGAGAGCTTACTAAAGCTATGTTCACTAATTGTGGTAAGTAGACAGGATACAGACGAAGGGTATACAAAACCCTTTATTTTTCTCTATATACAATAACTTCCGTACTTCGGAATACACCGACCCGCTACTCGGGGTCTAACGTAAAAGTATAAAAATAAAACTAAACTCTAATTTAACTTTAGAATAATAAACATGGAAGATTGGCCTTATATTAACAGGGAGGCGTATGTAGTACAGATAACTGAGAACACTACAATACGTTTAAAAGTTATCAAGAGGATTAAAACCTATGGCCTGGAAGGCAAACAGCAACTGCGTAACTTCTAAATTATAAATTATAAATTAAGCGGCCTGCTTTTGACTCACTGCTTCCTCTCTCTCGCTTGGCAAAAGGCCACAACTTAAATACTTGGCGTTTGCCAGACAAACTTTGCATAAAAACCTTCACGCTTATAATTCTGGCCGGAAGTAGAAAATAAGAAGTGATAGTAAAGATTTAAAATAAAATAAACGTTAGTAAAACTTAAGATCCTTACATACTTCCCGCCAGAGTTAATTAGTTTGAAACTGAGGTCTAAAACGACCTTGTTGAAAACTTTTAGCTCTAGAATCTAACGCGAGGCCAATCTTTTACAAACATTTTTCGCTAGAAACTAGAAATTTAAAAGAAAGAAATTTGTTTTTACAATAGAAGCTCCCAGGACACTATTTTTTGATCTGTACTGCATCTAAACAGGAGCTTTTATTCAAATCTGGTTCCTTCCAGAGATCTGGAAGGAAAACTAGTTTAATGAAATGTTACAAAATGAAATGGCAAGTAACATGTATAAATATATTTCTCTTAACATTCTTATTTCATTCATGACTATTTTAATTATCTCTCCCCGTGCTCTCTGACATGTGTTGTAAAAGAACACCAAACACGAATGTGTTTATGTATATGTGTTCAACACTTCCTCCTACAATCAAAACACTAACGTGTTAAAATTCAACATACCAAGACCTCGTAACACACCCTAATTTCAACTCTAAACCCTGAGGTACTATTCTGAAAGTGGCTAACTCTGAAGTGTAGCGTCAGAGAGCCTAACTACATCATTCAACCTTTAACACATATTCGCCATGATTTAGTCTTTACTGTCACACGAATAACAAATTTTTAACATTACTTTCACTTTTACCATATCACGGTATTTCTTAACATTTAAAATAACAGTTCACATTGTATATAAGAACATATCAACATGCTGTTAATTTTACACATTTGAAAACAAACATTAGTAGTACCTTGTTAACTTCTATTCTTTTCAAAGCAAGTGCCAATTCTTTCTACATTGAAATAATACATTTCAAAAAGTCTTTCAGACTAAAACTTCTCTTCTTGCTAGAATGTTTTTAAATAAAATTTATACAATAACAATTTTACAATATTTAAGTCTTTACACAACACTATTATACATCAACTTTAGTTTTACGCGCGAGTAATTGAAAAACATAATAAGAAAATCGGTCACAACTCATTTCTCGCCCTTTTGGCGATAAAGGTAGACCTCGCATGAGGTAAAACTTCTTGAAATCTGCCACTTGCAGTAAGAATGAAAGATTAACTTAAGTTTGCAAAGTAACATAAAAAATTTTACTTATCTTTGTAATATTCGGACATCCTTTTCTGGGCCCAGTCTTTAAAGGTACTGCAGATAGTAGTTTGATTTATCCTCCTTCTTGTACGGGCTCGGCCTTCAGTGCTTTCCTCTGGAAGCTTCCTTTTTTCACCAGTTCGGCCACCCTTGAATACCTTCCTTTTCTCCTCTGCTTGTGGTCTTGGCCGTTTTATGGCAGCTGGTCTTGGCGGAACCGGGAAACTTCTGTCGTGATCCTGCTTGGACCTCGTTGTTGTCCGTTCAAATTTTCCTTGTAACTTTTCCTCCGCCGCTGATGGCCCTTCCGCAGTTCGGCGACTTTTGCTGCGGAGAGTTCTGTCGGATGAGTAGATCTTCCGTTTTAAAGCCGGGTTAAAATTGCAGTCATTTCTCCTGGTTCTCTTCACATACGTCGTCCTTCTCCCTTCTTCATTCTGGGGGTGTTCGTGAACTCTCTTTTCTGGACGGTGGAACGGCTTCTTTTTCTTGTTACCTTCAATTTTTCCGCGGGGCAATTTTCTTTTCACTTGCTTCTGTCTCTCATTGGCTTGCCCTTGTACTTGTCGTTTTTCCACCTCTGGAGCTTGTACCTGCGGTGTCTGCCGTGCCAGATCCTGCAAAAGATCTGAAAAGATTTGCATTTTATTACGATCGAAGTAGGGCTTGATTTGATCAATGTTTGCGAACAGGTTTCACCATTTCACATTTCTGGCTTTTAACACTACTACAGCGTGAGTTATTTTTTCTATAACATATGGTCCTTCAAATCGTGGAAAAAATTTGGCAGTTTTATCTTCTGGTGCTGAAGAAAGTGAATGCTTAATTTTTAAAAACTTCATCCCCTACTTTATAAGTTACTCCCCGTCGTTTCAAATCATAATATAGCTTCTGTTTTCTTTGTGCTACTTCCGTATTCTTTTTTTGCTTCTTTATTAGTTTTTCTATATCACCCCATTTTAAATTCTGGGGCTCTTTGCACATAAAATAATTTTATCTAACGGTGTTATAATCTTTCTGCCTAGAAATAACTCAGCAGGAGTTTTGCCCGTTGTATCATGTTTTGCGGTCCTCAGGGCGAAAGCAAATTCATTGACATAGTTATCCCAGCTTTTAAGAAAATTTTTAACATAACTACGGATAATTTTCACTATATTTCTATTGACCCGTTCCGCTATATTTGATTGCGGCCGATACGGGACCATTTTTAAATGACGTATGCCCAGTTTTTGGCACATGTCTTCAAATATATTACTTACAAATCGAGGACCATTATCCGATATAACTTTTAGGGGCGCCCCGTATTTTAAAATATATTTGGTACTTTTCCACTTCGCAGGCGCAAATCTCGCCAAGCAGACTTTGTTGGCGACAACATACACTATACACATAAAAAATTTTAACAAATGTTAGTTCTCAGAATTTTTTATTTTGAAGACATAAACATTTTGATATGGTTTATAATTTGTAATAATAAAGACAACAAATTTGTAAAAAGACAATTTAAGAATTTACTATGCCTATCATGGTTCAACATCCTGATTCGCCGGTTCGTATCACGTGACAACAAGTGATCTCATCTCACGTAAACTACGCTACAAAAATATAATTTTCTCAGTAATTATCTGCATTAATTTAAAGTTAAATCTTAATTTGGAATACAAGTTTAAATGCAAGAATTATTTCAATTCTTACAAATAGCTTACCGAGAAATTATGTAAAACCGTAGTGCTTTACTTCACTAGTGCATTCTCATTAGAATTGATGTATTTAACCCTTGACTTTGCCTTTTCAATATTTTCACCTTCGGGTGAGCGGTGTGATTGCATCCTAAGTGACTTAATTACCGCGAATAGTCTTAGGGCATAAAATTTAATTATCTTTGTAAATATTCTATGTAATTGTATGCCATTATTGAAAGAAACAATCAATCTGGTAAGAAATGGCTGCGACTTAAATTAAAAATGTGGTGTAAAAGGTTTACCAGCGAAGA